TTAAGGTTTTTGTTTACTCATTGTTATAGGTATACATGCGGCAATGAATTGTTGCCTTTGTAAGGCCACCTTGAGTCCCCTTCAGGGTTGAGAAAGGAGGGATACAAGTATGGTAAACGATAAAATAAACAAATATAATCATGCTCTGCATAGATGACCTGCTGCTATTTATTATCCACTCATTTTTTAACACTGGAAACTACAAAACTAAGGAATGCTTTTGGGACGTTTCCTAGTTGTATCAGCAAATGCTCTAAATTAGAGTTGGGCAACGTCTGTGAAATACGCAACTCATCCCCTTTTTGTGGTTTCCAAGCCATGCCTCCTCTCCCTTTTTTTAAATGGCTAAAAATAACCAGAAAATCATCCCAAATGTTCCCTAAAGCAGCAGCTTGATCCAAGTTACACCTCAAAACCAGTTAAATCCTGTCTCAAACTGAAAAAAAGAAATAGATTGAACAGGAAATAACTTCTGGTCATTCCAGTTTGGTGGAAATCCCCGGCATCATTGCCCTTCAATAGTCTCAATTCTGTGTCTTGCTGGTTGGTGTGATTAAATTATAGCATACAATTGCTGACTAGCAATTTCAGTTTAGAAAGTTATGCCCACCTTCACGGACTGACAATTTCTTGAGTGCAAAAAAATGAGGGTGAGAAATCTCCTAAATGCAGTGAATACAAATAGCATTACATTATTGAAAACAGTTTTGTAGAGCATGTAAAAGAATGCCATAAAGAACATAAAGAACCTGGGGCAAAATCTGGGACAAGGTTAATAGCTTAAAGATTATTTTGTGGGAATGTAGGAAGGAATACCATAAATCACTACATTTTGTGGGAATGTAGAAAGGAGTACCAGAAAGAACAAAGAGTATCTGGGGCAAAATAGTCATCTTAAGTAAGTTACCCTTATCCCAGATGTATATTTATAGCCATTCATGCTTGAAAATAGGACTATTATGCCAGTTCCTTAATAGAAGAAGTGGGTTAAATTTAAGATATATTGGTTCACTAATAGATTTTCCTATTTACAATCTTGCAACCTAATTATTTACCTGTTAATTCTGGATGTTTATTAAGCACAATTACTTCATTTTTGAGCCTACCTTTTTGGCAGCTAGTTTTGAGAGTTTCTGTATCTTCTATATTGTTGGAAGAATTGTATCTTTATAGCAATCTAAGCCTAAATGTTGGTTAGAAAGTTGTAAATTGGATATTTCAGTTGTGTGGAATGGGGAATCAGAAACTCCTATATGCACTGTTTCTTTAGATCGATGGTTTCCAACATGTAGTCCGCGACCTCACTGTTACTACATCATTGCAACGAGGAGCGAGTGGCCTCGCAAAACCCTCTTATAGTGCTGAGCCTTATTAAATATGGTTTTCTGTGAGTAAGCAGATGTCAACTACTGGATGGCATATGTTCTGTATCAGAAATTAGAGCTGATGTGGTCTATCCAATGCAATTTTCTTAATCAGCACCCCAAATAACCAAACCAAATTTAAAGTTAACCAAAAACTGATTTTTCAACCCTTTGGGTACTAATATTGGAGAATGGTTCCTGGTCAAAGTGGTCCCTGTTTTTTTTTTAAAAAAAGGCTGGGAACCACTATTTTAAATAGAAAGATTGGCTTAATACAGTTTGGCATCTGTGTGATTCTTGAATACACTTTGTGAGGAAAATTCTGGATAAATGATGGCTACGGTGGAATCTGCATTGCCATATGATGCAGTCTGGAACTGTATTATATGGTCAGTGTAGACACATGAACTGCATTATATGGGTCTATACTGACCATATCGTACAAGTTCATACGGAATCACCTGGCAATGTAAATCCAGTTTAAGAAAGTCAGTGCCTTTCTGCAGTATATCATTTAGTCATGCCATGTTGATTGGAAATGATTCCTATAAAGTTTGTTTTAGGAAATTTCTGACATTTGCAGAATTCATGAATATTGCAGTTCTACAATGTGGTGACTTAACAGAAGAACAGGGTAAGAAAGTTCTCTGAGTCTTAAGTTTCAAAAGAAACTTCTATTTCAAGATTAGAATGGAACTAGGGGCACAAAGAAGCAGATAAAAATGCTTTGTTTTTCTGAACATTATAATAAAATAGAGAATTGTAATAGAAGTATACACATCATATATTTCAAGCAGGGAAAGTTCAAAACTAGATGGGAAGCATGTTATTATCATGTTTACTGTATTGTCATGTGTTCCTCTGTTACATGGTTTAATGCATTAGAGCTCATCCACATAAATCTGTGGATAGTTTAACCATGGTTTTTTAGAAGAGGCAAAGGACTATTGAAGTACGAATAAACAATGAACCAAGTCCTTTTTAACAGGTTGGTACATCCAGCTTAACTTGAAGGTGTTTAAAATGCATTTTAAAATCTCATTCTTTTAAGATGATATTGCGAGCTGGGAAAAATCCCCCAGGCAGCTTGCCTGGAAAATTATATTATTCACTTCAAGGCAAGCAATTGAATAGCCCAGTGCCAGACACACAAAGTATTCATAAAGGCACAACAGAATTAGAAATATGAAACAGGAAGCAGACAAAGTAATGTGACATTCTTTTGAAAAGCAGGAAAGTCCAGTTTCGGCAAACAACCACCAGAAGCAAGTGTGGAGTAGACTGCTTATCAATTTCTTGGTTTTTTTGAGAAGCATAGACCAATGTGAGAATTAATCTCTTAGCAATTTAAAATGAACATGCCTAGCAGAGCAAGTAAAGCCTAATTTCTGGATGCTTTGCTCTTTCACCTTTTTTAAAAATAAATAAATAAGAAGACTAGCACTTCTGTACATTTTATATTTAGTTCTCATTCTCTATAGCAAAATCCTGTACATATATACCAAGTTCAGTGGGATGTACATACAATATAGAGATGTATCTCAACCAAGCCCCCAGCAATGAAACAGGAATGGAAGTTTTGTCTCTTTTGTATGTCTATTTTTAATGCATTCTCTTATTGATACTTTGCCTTTTAATACCTCTCAGGCTTCCTTTTTCTACTCATGCCTTGTTTATCTGAACATTTGTTAGCAACACTGGGATTGGGAGAATAGCGATGGGAAGAACACAGTGTTTTGGTGCCAGGTTGCAACAATTATCTCTGCAGTACATTAAATAAATATTGAGATGGAGAAGAACAGGTTCTGCTCTACCCAATTTTACTGAAGCCATACATGACTATGACATGTAAGGTAAGCAGAGCTTCCAGAATTCCTTAAAGAGCACTAGTAAACAGCAAAACAAAAAAGGGCTAAGCAGATAATCCTGCCTTACCAGTTCCACATAGGAAGTTTTAAAAAGTACAGATCTTCTTGATGTTTCAATACTTTGCCAAATTATTTCATAGAGAATGATGAAGTCAAGAATTTGGGGATTTTTAAAGTGGTTCAAACATTTTTGTTGATTTATGCAAAGCTCATTGGGTCTGGTTTCATTTCACAAGTGCAGTTAGATTTGCATAGTTTGCTGAAATGCATATATTGAACTACTCTCCCCTTTTGTGGTTAGAACATATCCCTTTTCTGACAGTTGTACCTAATTTTCTATTAAGGAAGCAATGCCAAGAACACATATGCAGCACCTTTACATTCGCCAGAGTTAGGGGCTCAAGGCCATATAAACATGAAAATACAAATACAACACTATTTTTAAACCTGGTGTAATCTCCTTCAAAAGTTGACCATAAAGTCAGTGGAGATCCAAAAGATTTCAAGAGAGACCACTTGATCCAATCTACTAATGATCAAGTCCACAAAAGTCCATATATTTGAAAGGCCAACTGCACTTCATTAACTGAGTTGTACCTACAATATAAGGGGGGAGGAAAAGAAAGTGTTATGACCCACTAATTCAAAAGCTCGGCTGCTCCTATCACCACGGGAGGTGGTATATGGTTACTTTCTTCGGTTCCCTTTTCCCTGCAGGTTGAAATGTGGGTAAGAATTAGCTGTGGAAACTTCAAGGCTAGCACAGATAGATGTCTTCCTGGGGACCTTCTGAAAAATGAAGTCATGAATCCTTTCACCTTTGTCATTCTCTGACCAACACATCTAGTTTTGAAATTGTAGTTTCTTTGCATCTAGACAAAGCATCCGTTTCAGATTCTTCCCACTCCTCATTTGCAGGGATAATCTGATCCTTCTAACCCTAGAAGAACAGCTGTCTGAAGGATGTTCCACTGTGCTTTTGACCAGACAATTCCCTAGATAACTAGTCCCAGTTAGGACCCAAAAATTTGTCCTCACACTTTACACTTTACTATTGCTTTGTATCCAAAGTTATAATAGCCTATTTTATATTGCTCTTATCCTTGCTACTGCTATATGACCTGCCCAACTTACTCACTAGCCCTATCCTCTGAAATGTTGTGGCACCGGTCCGTCCACCCATGACGAGACATTCAACTTTGCTATTGGTTGTTAGTTTGATCATTGTTTTATATTTTGTTATTTTGTTATAATGCTGTCGTTCTTATTTTGCTTTGTTTTATACTGTTATTTTACACTTTAATGTGTTATGTTTTAACTATATTGTTTGCCTGGGCCCATGTAAGCCGCCCCAAGTACCTTCGGGGCAATGGAGGTAGAGTATAAAAATAAAGTTATTATTAAAGTTATTATAAATAGTGGATTGCTCTGCCACTCCCTGCAAGTGTACTTAGATTTCCAGCCTTATTTTATACTAGTCTTATAGTAAACATAGATTAAATTGCACATGGTAGATAACTATGCTGTTTCAATACTTGGCCTTGGTGTTCTGTTCTGTTAATACATCGCAGAAGATATACACATCAAACACATGGTGCCATACATCTCTCACATTTAAGCCCATACTTTACATATGTTCTACTGTATCACCGTTTAGCAGACAGTACCTTCGTTTCAACACTCTATTTCACAGTGTACATTACACAGCAAAAAGGTGTTTTGTTTTTGCCCAAGACAACAGGTGATCAGAAATAAAGGGGTGAAAGGCTATCAGGAAATATTTTTTTAATTGTACAATATTCAAAGTTCTTTTTTCAAAAGACAGGAGGGGAACAATAAACGGCAACAACAGCATCTCAGATAATGAATGATACAGTCTTTCACGGGAACAAATCCATCAGAGAAAAATGCATTAGTACTTGTTTCCCAGCCCCTGTTTGTTGGGGGAAAATAGGGTAAGTATGTCAAGTCTAACTCCACATGTAAAGTTACAAGGACAGTGTTACAGTGCACAGCATGATTCTTGTCCTCTTCCCCATCCCTCCCCCCAATATACATCATTTTCCTATACAAAAGCAAGCAATATAGACTTAAACAAAGATCTATGACTCATCTGAAGAATATGAATACTTGGAAATATGCAGACTGTTGTTTTGCCAACAATATTTCTCTAAAATGTTGGCTTAATCTAAATAATGTTAATTTGGTTTGCCACAAAGAAATATAGACAATCTTTCATCCATGGAGCAAATTCAGCACCCTTTGGCAAAATATTCTTGGAAGATTAGCAATGTAATTGCCAAGAGGTGAAAGCTATTATTCTGTGGTTTATACTGCTAATGATTAAATGAGAATCTACTTTGTAAAGGTAAGTACAGATGTTGGGTGCCTTCCTATCTATGGTCAGAAGCCATCCCAAGTCATGTGTGCAAGGTAACACCAATTTAAAGGAGGAGGAGAAGGAGAAAAGATATAAATGTTTTCAAGTATGGTAATATTTTTGTAACACAGATGCACATTTCCAGAAAAAGGTCATCTTTCTGGCACTGAGGTGAAAAGACTCATTCTTGTTTAACTGATACAAGTTAAGTTCAACTTTTCGACAATCCTATAAGGCATTGAGTAGTATGGGTTTACTAGTCTTATGTATTGGCCTTACAAATGTATTAACTCTGAAGAAAATGTTCTGCTCTGAGTTACTCTTCTTTCAAATACTAAGCAACTGCACTAGTTCAAATGAGTGATCCCACCTTCAGGAGCAGCTGTGCCTTTTCTGAGGTTAGAAAATGCAAAATTTCAGAAGCATAACACATAACATTGATTTATCCCTATTTTATGACTGTTTTAAGAGCATGGTTTCCTCTTTCTTTTCTTTTTTTTTTACTAGACTTCCCTTGATTCAAATGTTCACTTCACTTCAGGGACTTGCACTTTAAAAGGCTATACAATCAGCAGTGGCCTTGTGAGAAACATTTAGACATTTTCTTTTTTTCCATTTAGCACAATATTTTCAATAAAGAACCCTTAGAGATGAACACTAAACTACACAATGGGATAAGAGACATTGGTATTGAGAGGGGTCTTCTGCAGGCTAGGTAAAAGTGAAGTTATCTGAACCACAAATCTTAACTGGTTCTCCAGAAACTAAAGAAATATTTTGTTCTATTAACTTTCCAAGAACACATGGATTCTTTTTTTAAAAAAACAAAGCTATTATTTCTCCAAGAACTTAAATTTAACAATACTAATTATTCTCAAAAATAAACAGAGTGGACTTGGAGGTGAAGCTTCGGCTTCAAAAGACAATTCCCTTCTCATGATTTTGTAGTGTAACACGGTAAATGAGATTCATTTCCCAAAGGAATGAGACTTTAAATCTCAGTTTTTTTGTCACTTTGACTCAGGAATACATATATAAGGCCCCCTCTACAATATTACTGTTAAATGGTTCCAAAAATCACATTCAACACTTATTTTACGATCAAGATGAAACTTACCACTTCATTAACATCCTCTTTGGATGCTGAGAAACACCAAGTCCATATTTCAGGGGCAAGGGAAGCACATAGCAGCTAATTAACTCAACAGAAGTCAGTTTCATTTATCCTCCACTGGGACATGTCTATACATACATGGCACATGATGCGTTGTGTTTACTTCAATTCTACTACTGTAAAAAAAATGTTGCAAATTTGGTAATTTTGCCAGGTACAAAATCTACTCAAGACAATTCGGAAATCGTTTTCGCATAATATGAGCCACTTTTTAAGGGTCAATAACAAACAGAACTAGTAGAAAATACTCCAAAACATTCTAATCAACATTCTCATTCTTATTGCAATGCTGCTTGGAAAGAAAAAAAAGTTATTTCTTTTCCCCTTCTGCTAGCAAAGTTTTACTTAATGCCTGTGAGCCAATCTCCACTGTTACTAAGACAAAACTAATCTACAGGGATGGTTTACAAGGACTGAGAATAAGTTACTACTATTTGTACATGTGTTGTCATCACTACACTCAATGTTACCTTTAGCCACTGTACGTAATATTTTTCAGCAGAGAAAAGCATATTGAATATTACAAGCAAATCAAGTTAGGAGTAGTCTTTCTTGACTGGATGTTTTCTTGCTTATAAATGCTTTTTCTGTCTTTGTTCCACAGGCTATGAGCTTGAAGTCGAGCTTCCTCTGTCTGTCATTCACAGAAAATCGTAAAAACAAATTCTGCTCCACAAAAAAAGTGCTGTCCATCTTGCAAAAGAGCATTCACAGAGTCAAGCAGACAACCATTTTGTGTATGAGTCACAAAAGGGAGTGTATCAATTTGGTGCTTAAGGTGTATCATCCTGGCAGACCCAAATCAGCGTGAGGAGTATCCAGTTGCAAGGCCGCAACCTACTACTGGTGTCATATCCCATATCTGAAAAGTAGAATACATATGTTCTTTTAAAAAGCCTCTGAGTGATTTTTCAGACATCTGAATTATTAGAGGTAAACAACTATCACCCATATGTGCATTTGGAAAGCTACTGTTTCTGTCCTGATCTACTGTTACTGAAGCTGTGAGCCAGCAGGTTTCTGGCCCAAACAGTGAAGATAAATAATTAAACTTTGCCACTTACTTCAGAACATTGGTATCTAAGGTATCAGTTATAGGATCCAAAGGAGCTTGCAACAAAATAGAACACAATAGAGCAAAAAAACCAGGTGGTAGGAGAAAATGGTCAAGAACAAGACTGAATAAATTACTCAGTTATTTAATCTTAATCTGTTGCACTCTAGATGTTGCATCATGCAGTACAAGCTTTTTAGTCACTACACGAAAGGGTCTGTATTAGATTTAGGTTAACACATGATGAGAAGGAGGTGGGCCCCACTGCTTTAATCTTTGAAAAACTAAAATACTCATAGTAAGCAATACAAAAGAAAGGTCTTTATCAGAAATCAGATAATCTTTCTGGATGCTGAACAGAATTTTTGTTGTTGTTTTTTTAAAAAATATTATTGGAAAATATTCCAGCTCAACAGTAACATTATAACATTCTAGGAAGTACATAACAAAGGCCGTCCTGTTTTAAGAAGACATGACAATCGACCACTTATTCAAAAACGGAATGTATCTGACTGGGAATACTGCCATACAAATTCTTATAAAGATTATTTCAGATTAATAAAGGACATGTCAACCAACACCGGAGAATCCTAAGAGCTGAGTAATATATTATCAAGTTTGACAGGGAGTATATTTCTGATTACCAGGTGGTAGAGGCAAACAAATATCTCCCATCATATCCTGCTCATGAATTTTTCAAAGGTTATCCTGAAGGAAGCTGCTGAAATCAGAGGTCTCACCTAAACAGATTTATGACCCAATTCGTGAAGACATTACTTGGAAACACAGAAATCTTACACAACACAGGTCTTTCATCATCACACCTTCCTTCCAGAACCTTAGCTATCACTTGACACATATATCACATGTGGAGGAAACTAATCAGTTTGCAATTTCCATTTTGAGCTTAAGTACTTTGATCCAGGATCTTATGACTACAACATCAAGTCATCTCCTTAATCACTTACTTTGTATAGTATCTAATTTGAAGTGTTCTGGTGACCTGTTTGGTACAATTTGGGAGCTAATAAAGTATTATCCAACTGTGGAGTCTGAAATTTTCAAATGTTCCAACAAGGCATCATTTGCTTTTTATATGCCACCTCTAGTTATCAAACTCACTCCGATTTTAATTTACTGCAAATATCAAATCTTTATTATTTATAATAGAAAGGCAAATAACTGCACCAGCCCAGAAACAGAAGACACTGGTTGCTAGGTCTTCACAGCAGGAGGATGTTTAATGCTCCATTGGTACAGCAGCAGCAGCAAGAATTATTATAATATCAATTACAATTCAGTACAAGGCACTCAAGGGAAGATGAGAGATCCCCTTTCCCTCTACATTGAATCCTAGAGTTCAACAGGCAGCTAAAGCAATCTTGCACCAGAGTCACATAAATATGGGTAATTTCATCCCAGGAGTCACAGACAGGATACCACAATAGTGTGAAAGAAATGGCACCTACTGAATTTATGTGCAACTAAATTTGTGCGAGATGTTACCTAACTTTGAGTATGCAAACTTCTCCTTGGTTCCCCTAAAGTTTCCTAGTCTGTTTCTGAAACTGTGCAATTTAGTCAGTAGGCTCTAGGACACTCGGGCCAAGTCAAAACAAAAACATCTTACCTTTACTACTCGGTCACTTCCACAGGTCACCATAAGTCCTCGTGAAATGTCCATGGACATATGGGAAATATTATGCTTTCCTTCATGAAAGGTTGCCAAAGAAGTACGACTTGAAAGGAGGAAAAAACACCAGAATTTAAATAAGGTCCACTTGTGAGGCAATGCTCAATCCAGGTACAGGAAATTTCAATACAGAAAGCACTTGAGAGGAATGGCTTGTTGGAAATGGAATGTTTCAAGCCTGAAGTCAATAGCAACATCTGAATGACATTTCAACACTAAGCCAATTAAGTAGAAGTACTCTTTGGGTCTAAATATAGAAGAGTGCTCAATTCAAAACTTTGACCCTCTCCTCCCTACACCGCCGCGGTTGACTCGAAAAGCAATAGCTGTATCCCTTTTTAAAACGATGGTCAAATTCAATTCACAATGTTAGTCTTAAGCAGAGTAAATGAGGTTATGAGAATTATCAAGGTTGATCTCCCAGCTTGTGTTTAGGATATATATACACAACATTGATAAAGCATATGGCAATTCAGATGAATGAATGAATTTTGTGAATTTGCGGAAGATAGAGGAGTGGCAGGTAGACATAAATATAAATAACACTCAGTTGTACTCACTGAAGTCACCTGCTCTAGCAAGGGAATGAGGTGATAAAGAGATAAGGACAATACCCAAAGGGGCTTTAGATTATTAACTTAGAGGAGCCATTTTGGTAACAAATTTTATCTGCCCAAGCAAAAGAATGAGTGATAGAGGTAAGGACTAAACTCAAGGAGGTTTTGATTATTAGCTTAGAGATATAGCGATATGGAGCTAATCTTCCTGTAGGATTGGGAAGGGGAATTTTCTTCTCAAGACAATTCTCTTGGCAAAAATCTGTCAGAGATGCTACATGACAGCAGTGAGAGGAGCTACTTTTTTGTCCCATTCTTTCTCTTTCACCTGCCATTACCTTCCTCTCTTTACCAGGACACTGCCAAGGAAGAGACAGACTGCTCCACCAGAGGCCCAAACAGGCTGCTTGTAGAGCCTTTCAAATAAGATTGGAAACTGCAGATCAATGCAAAGAATGCCTATTCAGTTTATCTTTTGGAATGAGCAAGAAATAAAAAAAGAAAGATGCCCATGTGCAAAAGTTGCAGACCAAAAGGATCACCTGCAAGTGTCTTTAGGTTGGACTCATCAAACTGAAGGTTTAAAGTCTACAAAATGAAAATACCTCTTAGTGATTCTTTCGAGATGCAACTTTCATATCTTGTCTCATGTTATTTTTTAAAATCCCTGATAGCTGCTAACTACCAAGAGCAAAGAAAGCAAATAAGAGAACAAGAAAAAGAACAAACAGAAGATGGGCTGTTTTCTTCACTGAGGTTTATACCGCTGACGTGCAATTTACATGGGATAATATTCTATTTAACATTGTCAATCTTTGAAATTAAAAGCAAAAAGGTACAATGCAGCAGGTTGAAGAAAGGTTGTTTTGAAACCCAGGCATATTTACTCAGAAGGTGTTTTTTTCTTTCATGCAAGTCGCTTCTGGTGTGAGAGAATTGGCCATCTGCAAGGACGTTGTCCAGGGGACAACTGGATGTTTTACCATCCGGTGGGAGGCTTCTCTCATGTCCCCGCATGGGAAACCGGAGCTGACAGATGGAAGCTCACCCCACTCCCTGGATTCAAACCACCGACCTTTCGGTCAGCAGTCCTGCCAGTACAAGGGTTTAATCCATTGCACCACCGGGGTCTCCATTACTCAGAAGGTAACTTTAAAGAATTCAATGGAGCTCACAGGTATGAATGAATAGATTGCCACTTTAGAATAAAATGCTGGAGATCCAACATCCATAATTGGATGCAGATAGAAATTAAGCAGTTGTTTTATAAATGGACAATGATTTCTTTTGTCCCTGAATCTTATATATTTTTTAAAAAAACATTTTCAGCTCCACTATGCTTCAAGAACAAAATGGTATTTGCTTGCCACAGCATGATTAGATTATACAGGAGACCATCAAAAAAAGGAAAGAGGTAGATTTTGGCACCTACAATGCAAAAATTGCATTGTCTTAATGTTATCTTTTCCCAGGGAGAGAGAATTTTAGTGACTGTCACCGGAGAAACAGACTGTCAACTATACATATTTTTAGATAGAAAATAAAAGCAGGAACCAGAGGGAAACTCAAATCTCCCCTTGCACAAAACAGATGTGGTGGTGAGGAGAAGAGCAGGATTTAAATCGTTTGGAAAGGCAAGGCTTTTAAAATAGAAATGTGTCAAAAATAAACTTTTCAATAATAACAAAAAGAGAAGGCAAAGCTTTATAATGAGTCTCACATGAAAAGGAGGTGAAAACATTGCACACAATCCTCCAGGCCTAATCAGTACAGCTAGTAGAGAAGGATGAGGAGAATTATAGTCCAATAACTTAAGTCCTGAGTTATGTAACTTGGGACAGCATGTGTGCTGATAAATGCATGTAATATTGTTACACTATCATGAGAGAAAGAGAATGGACTTTGCAGTCAACTAGTAGAAACCAATATTATGTATCCCATTTAGCCCCTGGTGGTACAGTGGATTAAACTGCTGAGCTGCTGAACTTGCTGACCAAAAGGTCGGCGGTTCATATCTGGGGAGCAGGGTGAGTTCCCGCTGTTAGCCCCAGCTTCTGCCAACCTAGCAGTTTGAAAACACGCAAATGTGAGTTGATCAATAGGTACCGCTCTGGCAGGAAGGTAACAGCACTCCATGCAGTCATGCTGGCCACATGACCTTGGAGGTGTCTACGGACAACGCCAGCTCTTCAGCTTAGAAATGGAGATGAGTCCCACCCCCCAGAGTCGGACACGACTAAACTTAACATCAAGGGAAAATCTTTATCTTTTACCTTATTTACCCTGTCACACTTCATAGATTCCTGTAAAGAAGAAATATCAGAATAGCCATACAAGGGGAGGTGATCCAATTCAGGTTAGCAGGTATGGAGTTCTTCCCTGGCTTGTTCACCAAGGGATAAATCAAGGAAATAGTCTCTAGCTTATTTCACTATCATAAGGAGCAACAAGTCAAATTCTTGCAAAGCATGAAGGCATGAACACATGGAATATGAAGGAATCTTTTTGAAAAATACTCACTCCTCATCTTTGATTGAATCAAAACAGGCGTCACAGACCCGGACTTGGAATTCAAAACCCATGATGGGATAGCTGGACCGTTTAGTGCTGCACTTGCCACACACTGCCTTGCCACATTTCCTACAGTGATGCTAAGTGAATGGAAAAGAAGGAACATTTAAGAGGGGAAAAAGAGTAATGAGGTCATCTCCTCACTAGCTCTATGAAAGAAATGTTCTCTCTCTTTCTCCCTCCTCAACCTGTTAATATCAAAAAGTCAGAGACTTTGGAGAGAAGACTCAGATTAAGATTGTGACTGAGAAGTAGATCCTCAATGCAGGTGCAGACGTGAAAGACCCCCTTTTCAGGCTGGCCCTGCAATTCCAGCCCTTGGGCTCCTGTCGCAGAACCTGTCCTTTATCCCCACTTAATCCTTTCCTATCTGTGTTTGACATAATGTTTTAGCATAATGTGTTTTTAACTATGATCTACCTCAAGGAGAGGTGGGTAAGAATTACTATTATCATTATTATTACTCCAGAATTGAGTATATGGGCCTCAAGGTGATTCTCTATGTGGATCTGTTAGTTCATGGGCTTTTGTGGTAAGAATGACCTGACTCTTTAGCAGACTTGATAAAAACAGCCAGAGACAGTTTAAAAACAGATAAGTGGAAATTCATTTAAACACAACAAAGTAATACATAAATGAATGAGCTCTTCAATCAATCAAAGCCCTCTAAAACCACAGCCAGCTCTTTCCTGTTCCCCATCCTTGTCTCAGCTTTGTCCCATCTCTCTGAAATCCAAACCCTATCTATGCATTTCCTAAAGGACATTTTGGGGCAAAATGAATTTCAAATATTTTGCAGGTGAGGATTTCTTGGAGGACCAACATAAGTGTCCTGTGATCTGCCCTGATTCCCCTTTTTGAGTGAGAAGGGCAGAATATAAATGCTGTAAATAAATAAATAAATAAATAAATAAATGTTCTGGGATGAAATGGGACTACTGATAATGTACCCAAGTAGGTGCAAATACAGTGCTAAAAATTAACCATTGTTGTTAGCTGAATTACTCTCCATACACTGGTGGCACCAAAGCTCTTTGCAACCTCACCTGTCTTAGTCCCAACGTCTTTGTGTCCCACATCTGCTTTATATTCCAGAAGAATGGCTGCTCACATTTTTGACAAGAATCACTGTCCAACCACTGAGGGGCCTGGAAACAGAAGGATTTTAATATGACATCAAAAGAGAAAAAAATTGTTCCACATTCAAAAAATGTCATAGAATTTAACAATCAACATGTTTTGCTTTGCATTGGCAACCAAATTAGAAATACATTAATGAGTTACAACTGAAAGGCTGAAGCTCCTAAAGCTCTGTCCTTGAAATACAAGCATGCCTTGTAAAATTTGCCACCCTCTAGACATAATTAGACTAATTCAATGTCAAGCTGCGCACATGAGGGATTGCGGAAACTGTGACAGTCTTCAAGATCTTTGTGCACCTCCCACACTCTGCCCTTCACTGTGGCATTTCTCCTTACGACCATGTTAATGAGGATGCTTCTCCTGCCATAGCTGAATTATTCGCTTGCTGCAGGGCTTTAAAATCCCCACTTTTCACCCTCTGGATGATTAAGAAGAGATACTGAATAATTGGAAAATCTGAAGGTTTCCACAGTCAAATTATTATGCCTTCCATTTTCACTCTTAATCTGGTGTTAAATATGTCCTGTTCTTGTTTCTGAGCACTACAGATGCCATTTAAAGCAATTATTTTTAGTTTCCTAGGCTGATCTTCAGGATATGCATTAACATCTATTCCTGTCCTCACTGCAAATGATAATACTAGAAAATCCATGAAAGGAACAGAATTGTCCTTAGTCTGCTTCCCCACAGTCAGCATTCACAGGTTTTAGTCCAACTAAAAGGCTTTTAAAGATCCAAGTCTTTCCAATAGGAGAGAGTTAGGCAATATACATTGAAAGTATGTAAAACTTAAATACCTTAAAACACAAATTCCTTCTGATCTTGGAAGCTAAGCAGGGTGAGAAATTGCCAATGAACACCTGATGCTATAGACCAGGCATGGGCAAACTTTGGCCAGTAGGCTGTTAGGAATTGTTGGAGTTGAAGTCCAAAGCACCTCGAGGGCCAACATTTGCCCATGCCTGCTATAGACTATATTTCAGAGGAAGGGGAAGGTAAAATAATTCCTGGCCTGAGAAATTTAGATGAGGTGAAGACGAAAACACACACAGTGTCCTGGAAGCTTTCACTACTATAACATCCTCAGTTCAAAGGAAATGAATGTTTTGCCTTGGAGGTTGCTGCAACCCTGTAACATGATGGCAATCTAGTATTATAAGAATTCCGCTCACATACTGGAATTCTTACTTCAATTCCCCTACAGGTGCACATCCTCTCTTAGTATCTGCTTTAACGGCTCTCCCACCTTCCAGAAACAATTTGAAGAAATATAGGGGGTTGTAGGGAGAAAGAAAAAACCATTCCCTTTCAGTTCAATGAAAGGACCTAAATGGATGCCACCTATAGATTTATTATTTATTAATTAAAATATATTACCAGAAAACAAGCCCAATGTGGTGATTCCCACAGGTATAAATACTTGTGATGCTCCATGCAGCCATGCCGCTCCATGCAGCCATGCCGGCCACATGACCTTGGAGGTGTCTACGGACAACGCTGGCTCTTCGGCTTAGAAATGGAGATGAGCACCACACCTCAGAGTCAGACATGACTGGATTTAATGTCAGGGGACTACCTCTACCTTTACATAAATACTTGTGAAAGCAACCTTCACATAGCAAAAATGAATTAAGATAAAATTTCTCAAGAAAATGTGAATGGATGCAACTATTAGGTTATCAAGGTGTTTTTCACTATTCCACATTTTGAAATACAGGCTATAAAGGTGGTTGAATACAACAACAACAACAATATTTTTATTCTTATATTCTGCTACCATCTCCCTGAAGGGACTCGGGACAGCTTACAAATGGCACAAAGTGCCTAAAAACAAACATAAAAGTGAATACAATATAAAATACAATCAAATAAAACACATCCACATATAAAAACATCAATTCAGACTCTATCAAGCTGCAATCCTCTAACTGTGGTGGTAAAATTACTATAACCCTGGCTGAGTTGTAAACATTAGGAATACAATAAGTGCCAGCTGCAGTAATGGAGAGCGGGCAAGGGATAAAGTGCAGGCTGTGTGACTACTACGCAGTATAACTAGGAGCTAAATATTCTCAAAGGCTTGACTGAAGAGCCATATCTTCAAGTCCTTACGAAAGGAGGACAGTGTGGGACCCTGTCTAATCTCCCTGGGGAGGGAGTTCCAAAGTCGTGGGGCCACCACCGAGAAAGCCCTCTATAACTCAGCCTATGATGTATTCCTATTGAGGAAAGAGGTAGCATATGTTCAAATATCTGCACTATTTAAAGCAGTTCCATCACCTCACTTTTTATTTTGGCAAGAATTATCTCCATTTGTTTTGAGGCTAATATTGCTTTACCATATTTATACCCCGCCCATCTCCCCCCGGAGGGGACTCAGAGAGTCTTACAAAAGGCAGCGATTCATTGCCACACAAAGATACAGACAATTAAAATAAACATATATAATAAAACAAAAAAAACCCCATCTAAACACAATATTAAAAACCAAATGTTAAAACCATGTAATCCAAAAACCATAGTCACTGCTTTGCAGTTAACTGGATTTCCAGAAAATAGTGGATTCAGAAATTTTAACAACACAATAATGACATTATTGCCATGAGGCACAAGTTTCTTGTTGGCATGTTTGAAAAGAATAGCTGAAGTCTTTGGTTTGCTGCCTATTCCTACCTCTTCCCTGTTAATATCCATATTCCAGACTGTGATTCCTCCATCAGCTGCACAAGAAACCAACTGTCGTGTGAGCTGGAGGTAACAAACGGCCTGTACTTTATCACTGTAAAAAATAAAAATAAAACGAAACAGACACCATTATCTCTTTTATTACTGCAACTGAAAAGAATAAATACACGTTTCTAGCCACTTTTTCTGTATTTTAGTTGAAACAATTTCTCATTTAACACTTGTTTCCACCTGAATATTCTTATATCAAAGTTCAAACACTCTTATGACTTCAGCATCAGAGCTAAAATCTTCACCTGCCTTTCTGGCAATCATTAAAACAGCATATAGTACTGCATACATTTAGAAGCAGTATGACATCAAGAGTCCTCTGATAAGGAACTGACTTCCTTTGGATGGATCCTTAGAAAAGGGGCAGAACAAAATTTCTTATCCATGCCTTAATACCACAAAAAACTGAACCAGCAATTAGATTTGTAGAAAAGCAAAATGTTACATACTGGTGGCCTTGCAGAAGCAATGTCCGGCCTCTCCTCCCGCCAATATCCCACATGATTATGCTGTTATCCGAGGCTCCGGAGAAGAGTAACCGCTGAACAGGGTCCCACCAAAGGGAAGCAATGCTTCCTAATGAAAAGAGGGAAATACCATATATAATCGAGTATAAGCCGAGCAATTTTACCACAAAAAACTGGGAAAACGTATAGACCCGAGTATAAGCCGAGAGTAGGAAATGCAGCAGCTACTGGTAAATTTCAAAATAAAAATAGATACCACTACAATTACATTAGTAGATTAAATGTTTTGGAATATTTACATAAAACTGTAATTTAAGATAAGACTGTCTAACTCTGATTAAACCATTATTCTAACATTCTTCAATGTAAATGTGCTTACACATCCTTCCAATAATAATAAAGATAGTAAAATAACTGTAATAATAAAAAACAGAGTAAAATAATGGAAATGTAATAAAAAGTTATAATAGAGTAAAATAATAAATGTAATAATAACAATGATAAATAGAGTAAAATAATAAATGTAATAAAAACAAAAATCATAACAGAGTAAAATAATAAATAACTTTGACTCGAGTATAAGCTGAGGGCTGAAAAGCTAGGCTTATACTTGAGTATATACAGTAGTTTTGTTTTCATTTAGACAAATTTGCAAAATTGATGGCTGTCTCATAAAGAATCTACGGGCTGATAAATTCAATCCACTTCAGGACAGGGACTATAATATTTGGTATCTTTCCTTTTAAAACACCCACATGAATAGTAGCAAAAAGAGCAGAGTGCAGTATGATCTTCATATCCAGGTAGACAGGCTTACTCAAATTTGAACCCAATTATAATATTTATTTATACCCTGCTTTATCTCTCCCGAAGGAGACTCCAAGTGGCTTGACATAAAAATATACAGATATGCAAACATTAAAACAGAATTAAATAGAAACAGTATCTAAAAATTCACATCTCGAGCTACTTGAGAGGTAGGCAATAAATAAAATTATTATTATTATTTCTTCTTCCCTGGAGGATATGTTCCTGAACTTATAAAAACAGGAAACTGCATAATAATGAACCTTACTGCAATTAAAACCATCTGCCAGAAATTACTGTAGAGTTGCCTTGGATGTCTGAAAAAATTCCTAGAGAGGTATCATCTCCAGGAATTTGCTAGGTCCTCCTGGGTGACTGTAAGGTAACTTCTAGTGGAAGTATATCACAGAATCTCCTGGAGAATCTAGAGAATTCCTAGAAAGGCCACATTTTATCAGATGTGGATAGGTGAAACCACTGGTCTCAGTCCTGCGGATACAGGGCTGTGCTGCAACCATGTGCAGCTCTTGCTGGATTGTACTACTTTAGATTGGAGAAAGAGAAATACATATGAAAAAGATAAAATGGAATGGATTAGGAGTATAACCCACTCCATTAGCACTAATATGTGTTAAGTCTTTGTCCCTTTGTTAAGCTTCCTGAAGAAAACGCAGAAAGAAAGGTTTTTTTGAATAAGTGAACCAGTATGGTGCAGCAGATATGAATGTCTAACATGAGGGACATAAGTTCAGATCCCCACTCACTATAAATCAAATTGGCTGACTAAAGATCAATATCTATCTTCTTGATCTCTGCTACTACATAGGGTTTTTGGTAGGATAAAAATGCCCCAGTGTATCACACTTAGCAACTCAAAGGAAAGGTAAGATATTAATGTAAATCACATAATGCCCCCCCCCCACACACACACACACCCACACACCGCTGCCGTCCAAAGACAGACAAAAAGAGAGAGAACAACTGCACCAGATTTGGGTATCCCTGAACCTAATAAGAATAAGTCAGCTCCAGCTTCTCATGCGGAGACATGAGAAAAGCCTCCCAAATTATGGTAAAAGATCCCTGTGTCCCCTGGGCAACATCCTTGAAGGCGGCCAATTCTTTCACACCAGAAGTGACTTGCAGTTTCTCAAGTCGCTCCTGATACGAAAAAAAGCAATAGACAAAATGCAGTTATAAAAAAGATTAAGGCATAACAAAAATTACCCAAAATTAAATCATTTTATATGGGAACAAACCAGTCCATGGTTTGTTCCCATACTATTATCCTTTTAATGAATTGAAGCTGTTTAGTCACTTTCTGCAATGACCCCTGAAATTTACTCTCAGTGATCATTCTCCTTTTATCAAGACAGCTAATCTGTGCCTGCTGTTTATTCCAATTTTGCTTTATTGTCTCTATTTGAACAGTGCTGCCCCAATATTGACTGTCTGTACCTAATTCTTATTGTTCGGTATTTAAAGCCTACCACAAAGATACATAGAAACTGGCAATTTTCTCAGGAGCAAAGCTGAATTAGTTAATCAGTGCTGGGCCACAGTGTGTGGAGAGCTGAGCAAGTAATTTATCTCTGCTGGCAGCGGCATACATCACTTTCAGCTTCCAGGTAAGAGATAAGCAAACTCTACCACGCACCGATCACGCTGACTGAGGCAAGACTGCAAATTAGGTTGGTTCAATTTACACCCCTCAAGCCTTGTTATATAGCACCCCAAAAACTTTGCAGCCTGAATCAGTCATGACCAATGCATCTGGGTGTTTGTCCCATCAAGATCTTGCTTCATTCACATCTTCAAAGTCAAGGGAACAATGGGGCTCATGGCACATTCCAAAGTGCAGCGAGATGCACCTGCCATACCAAGCCATGTATCATTGCAAATACCAGTAAAGATTCAGAAAATAGGCAATTATTGTTATATGAATGAAATAAAACATTAAGAGAGATTATATTAAGATGTGAAGCAATAGCCTGGAGGACTTCTTTTGACAAATTTTCAATGCTGCTTTCAACCTTCCTTCTGTTCTATGTCACTATGAAGCAACAAGATCCCTAGGAAACTCAACACATGTTCTTGCCCTTTCTGAATATGGTATCATTCAGTATACAAACATGTTTATTATTGAATACCAGGCATAGCAGATGTATAAATCTCTTGCCATGAAAGCAATGAGCAGGTTTTTGCTAGACTGCCATCTAGTGTTTATTTAATATGCTTGTTTTGAAGACAAGGAGGTGGACATTTCAGACTTTGTGTGCAAATCAAGCAGACCACAACTACCTCTATCTGGCCACAAGCTCAGTCTAAATTGTCAGGCATCAGGGTGAATGGCTGGGAATAACCCAATTGCTAGCCACTATTAGTCCATTTAATTCAATATTATCTGTTCTGATGGGGAGTGTCTCTCTAAAGTGACTTTCTCCAACTCTGCAGAGACCTGTGTTTGTCCCCTGGCCTTTCTCTTTTTTAGTACAGGCCTATGGGGCTGATGAACTGCAAGGCCCAACAACTTTAATTAGCATAGCCAATGATGAATGTGAATAAGGTCCAAAAAGGCCTACAGAATCAAAGTGGCTTCCATTTTCTTGCAATTCTCCTCTATTCTTAAAAAATGAAGATGGCAGAAGACTAGAGCATTACTAGCATTTCATTTTAAACCATGACTACCCTCCTAGTAAAACTGACCATCCAAAACTGATCCATGAATAACAAGAGAATTGAATTATTTGTCGTGTCAGGGCAACCAGTCAACKGTATTACATTTCTAACAGAACAAAACAAACAAACAGACAAATTACAAAATTTGCAAGTTTGGTAGTTGATTAAATGTCCTTTGACCAGTAGCTGGCCACTTAGAGTGCTTCTGGTGTTGCTGCAAGAAGGTCCTCCATTGTGCAAGTGGAAGGGCTCAGGTTGCATTGCAGCAGGTGGTCAGTGGTTTGCTCTTCTCCGCACTCGCATGTCGTGGATTCCACGACAATTGATAAAGGAGTCAAACAAGACTGAGCAATTGCTTGCTGCTTGGAAACATCAGGCTGACAATTTCAGTAAATTAAGAATGTGTTTATACGCCTGGACATRATCCTTGGGGAAACTGCTTGACAAGAGCACAAAAACAAACAGACACACAAACAAAAAAYGAGATAGAAGGAATAATGAGAGAGAATGGGAAGGGTATCAGCCGGCTGGTGAAATGAAGGAAATGGAGTACAGGTTGGTTGGCAGAGGTATTTGGCAGGAGGAACAAATTAGAGTGTGTCTAATAAACTGAGTAGTTCATTTAGAATTCAAAAGTTGGCTTTTTATGAAATGGGAAGAGAATCGTAGGTACCAGGTTCCAGTTTTATAATTGGGGGTTCATTTATAATTGGGGCTTACTAYCATTTCAGTAGAGTCTTGTTTATCCGACATTCCATCTTACCCGACACTTTTATCCCAATGCCCCCCTTTTCCTYGAGCATTTCCCCTTCAATTAAAGGAGCACTCCACAACTCTCTCTCCACTCCCAGTAAGTGAAAAAAGCAAGATGAGGAGGGAGGAAAGGGGGAAAGGGGGCAGTACTGGAAGCAGAAGCATCCTCCCTCCTTCCCTCTGTGATTTCCACACTCCTCTTCCGGATCCAGGCACTTTCTGCTAGGCCACTATAGCCCCGAGGTGTTGCTTTGCCTTAACCCTTTGAGTCCTTGTTGTTAGTATTTTAGATGTCTAACACCGCATGGGATGGGCAACCGTCAGAGACTCCGTATTATCCGGCATTTTCATTTATCTGACCTTCTGCCGGCCCATTTATGTTGGATAAGTGAGACTCTACTGTACCTCGATTTAAAATTTAAACATATATGTTTAACAAAGAGCGTAACTGGATGGCTCTAAAGGTGAAAAAGAACTAAGATTCCGACTTTATTGAGAGAGAGACTGGGCTTTGGAATTATCCACCCACAAACATGACTTCTGCAGTGTGGTTCATCTCCTAAAAATCAAGAGAGAGAATGAGCAGAAAAGAAATGAAGCCAAACGTTACCTTCATGGCCCTTGAGAGTTGTGATCACCGAGCATGTGTTCTGTTCAAGCTTCAGCAGGGTGATCTGTCCAGAGTAGTCACCAATAAAGGCATGCTGGGTTTCAAAGTCATATCTTAGAGCAGCCAAGTCAAGGAGTAGCTAATCACCATTTCATATCTCTGTTGCTAAAGCAGCACAAAAGCATACTCAAAGCCCAGTTATAGAAATATGAATTTGGATTGAAAGCAAGTTTATTATCAATATTATCAATGCTACTTTTTCTCATGCAAATAAGGTTCAAGCCCTCCATGACTGTTTTGGTCATTGTATTTTTTTGTATTTGTCAGCGAATAGCTCCAAAACGTAAGAAGGATGCTAGTTTTATTGTTCAAGACATGTTCTCTGAAAATCTCCTTATTCTGTTTTAACAGTCCCGCAAGGGCAAGCTTAAAGAAGAAAAACAAACACAATACACTACACTGTGAGGAGCATTAGTTCCCTCTCCTGGGCAACAGGACAAGCAGCAAGAACAAAACATCTCTGGAGGCTTCATAACAAGGGATGAACAAGAGGGAGAACATGTAACCACACTGCTGATACAGATACAATTCCAGCCATCATAAAGATGAGGAAAAGTCCTTATATAGCCCTATTCTGTTGGAAAGAACTCGAGGGATGGATGCCCAAGAAACTTTCCTAACTGGCTCACTAATCAATATACTTCAGAGAAGCAATGAGCAAACTTTGGCCCTCCTGCCGGCTGTTAGGAATTGTGGGAGTTGAAGTCCAAAACACCTGGAGGGCCAAAGTTTGCCCATGGCTGCTTTAGATAGTGAAATAATCGTCTGTATTGTATTAATAACTCCAGCAAACAGTGCAATGCCAGGGGGAAAGAAAAGAAAGCCTTGACAATCAAAAGACAACATTTGCTATGAAAATCATACCAGATTCTAAACAGAGTCCAAAGCTAGATAGATTCATTGGACCTATATGATCAGGATTCAAAGACTCAGTCAAAACTTGAAAGCAAGACTCTCTCAGAAAAAAGGCTCATTGCACCTGCACTGCTCTAAAGATAAAATGAACCACAAAATGGTTAAAGGCATGAAAACAAGAGAAGAGCTGGAAAGAACAAAACTGGGAAATAATGACAGAGTGATGACAAGGTGATAGCCAACCAGAAGCAGCACCTGAGAGAGAATTAAGAAAAGAGACAAGAAGGCAAGACACCGAGAAACAACAAGACAGTCAAACTTCAGGATTCCCAACCTGTCCTGTCATCATTGCATTCCAGAATTTTGCCCTTTGCCATAGCCCTTTGAAGAGATACTTGCTATATTCTTTATGCTCCCCAGAGGTCAGTCAAGCACCAAAAATGCCTTGTAACATTTCCCAGGTAGGATGCAGCATTTTTCAGATAGGACACAAACAGGTTGGGAATCCTGAAATTTGACTGTATTGTTGTTTCTCGGTGTCTTGCCTTCTTGTTTCTTTTCAAGTCCCAAACGCACTTTGTTAGAGATTCAGGATTATCTGCAGATTACACCTACTGCCAAATACCTCTATATATTACTTGTCAGGTTCAGCACTTTTAATTTTTGTCCATTACATTTGGCCCGGCCCCAAGGTTTTTAACTGCGTCGCAGTGTCATTGTTTTACTGTTCTATTGTTTTGCTTGATGTTTTATTATTTGCTTATGTGTTTTACTGTGTATTGTATGTTGTTGTTGTCAGCGGCCTCAGCCTTTGTAAGCCGCATCGAGTCCTTCGGGAGATTTTGCGGGGTATAAATAAAGATAATAATAATAATAATAATAATAATAGTAATAATAATAATGCCTCTTTGTCTTCTTAAAATGCATTAATGTATAAAGCATGGAGTAATACTGGGAGCGCTTTCCGTTAGGAGGGGATTCTGGCAGCTATGCTCTGGGGTTGATCCTTCAAGTTCCTTCAAGGGGGGGAGATGCAGAAAAAAGTAGTTGTGGTGGGAGAGAGAAAAAAAATCCAATAATAAATAAATAAAACTTCTGAAATTACTACAACCAGCACCAAAGAGATATCCTGAGGAAATGAAGCCTCAGATGACAAAAGACTCTTCATTACTGAAAGGCGGGAAGTAGATTTGGATGTAGTGGTGGAGCTCTAGGTGACTCCTTGTTACTTAATAATAACAGTAATTCCTAGACAAAACTATCTTGTCTCAAATCCTGCAGCTGTGTTTATGCAGACATGGCAAAAGCCTGGGAAGACCAGGAGTCCATGTATATGTTTGAGTATGAATTTAGTTCTGAAGTCATTACAACAAATTCACGGGCTTAGAATGATTTAAGTCTACACAAAAGAAAAGACTTGGAACATCTTAAAACTAACACATTTATTATAGCATAAGCTTTTCTAGACCATTTATTACATCATGAACTGCACTTGGTCCATAAAACCTTAGATCACATTACATTTGTTAGCCTTTAAGGTGTCACAAGATGCCTGGTTTTGCTTCAAAATATTAGGACAGTACTCCTCAGGGAATTAATATTAATACATGTCTGTATCACCTAGTTCTTTTTCTGATCTCAAGGAGATTGTGTAAGACTGAGGTTTGTTCACCTCTAGACAAAATTGTGCAGTGTTCTACAACTGCTATGCAGGAGAATTAGCTGAGTGGAATACTCTGCTTTCCTTGACAAAAACAGACCTTTCCAATGTGTAACCAAGCAATCTTTAACAATTGCAAGAGGAAGAAGAGGAAGGAGGAGAAAAGTGTTGAGGCAAAAGGAACAGCAGTCATTCCTGGCTTATTTGCCCAACTAGTACAATAAAATGGGTGTAAGTAATAAAGAACTCATCAGTCAACAACACGGGTTCTCTGACATGCTTTGTTTTTCTTTCCATTCCAAACCAAATTTATCTTGCGTCTTCTGGATATTCCGAATAGCTTTCTGAACAGGCAAACATTTTAGCACAGACACAGAACCAAGGCCTATCAACTATATCCACTATAACTAGAGATTATTGAAAATCTTTGTAGGAATAATGAAGTTATCAGAAACTGATTGAATGTAAATCGATATACATTATGAATATGAAAACAAAAAAGCACAGCTGCCTTCTTTAGCATCCCTATCTGATACAGCTACTTTGAAGGATACTGTAAGGCAGAAGCCCAGGAGGTGAAGTAGTGTCTTCCCAGCATGTTTCCACTTCTGGTACACATCCAGCTGACACATTTATCATGACCGGTACTGATAACCCATTCAGCTTCCAAGCAAAAGATCACCGCAGACACTCTGTTTTGATGAGCTATAAAACAGATAAGAATGATATCACTTAAATGTGAATATTTGTATTTAAGTTCAAATAATGGATGGCTAGGCTTACCAACAAAACAGATGCAATCACGTCTGCTTGTTATTGTACAGATTTCTCAGCACCTCCATACATTTAACCTTCATTTCTGTTTTATATGATAGCAGCCAGTGAGTTTGCATGAAAAATGCAAGCCATGTTTTCCCAGAGTTACTGTATCTATTATATCTTTGGTGAAACTGTAGTTGGCATCTCCAGTTCTAAAATGTGCTGGTTTTAATCATGTATTCTAACCATCATTTTGAATTTTGCATTATAAAGTATCTAACTGCATTCAGCATTGTTGTTTTAATGAGCACATGTTTCCTAGTTATGACTTTGGATTACAACATTAAACTGACTTGTTAGATGTTCCCTATGTTAGAGCAGCCCATGCCACACTAAAGAAGTTCTGGCATTTCTAGCAAATCATTCATATTTTTCATACAAAAAGTCAGAAGTACTGTCTTCATTGTGACTGATGAGCCCCCCAGTAGTGCAATGAGTTAAACCCTTCTGCCAGCAGGACTGCTGGCAAACAGGTCAGTGGTTCAAATCTGGGGAGAGTGGATTGAGCTCCCTCTGTCAGCTCCAGCTCTCCATGCAGGGATATGAGGGAAGCCTCCCACAAGGATGGTAAAACATCAAAAGCATCTGGGCGTCCCCTGGACAATGTCTTTGCAGACGGCCAATTCTGTCACACCAGAAATGACTTGCAGTTTCCCAAGTCGCTCCTGACATGAATTTAAAAAATGGCAGATGTTAAAAACTGAACATTTATGGACTTCCTGAAATTAATCAGTTCCTTCACAAAGAAATATTTAGGCCATTTTCCAGTGAAGAAAGGAGAGCAATGAGATAAAGTCACTGTAAAATTCACCTGCAGAAAAAAGAAGCATTCCTTTGGATTCAGGAAAAAAAGTAATCTGTTCTTGATTAAAGGTCGTTTTAGTCAAAACTGCACTTTTTATATGTTAAGGAATTACATGTCATGACAGAAATCCTCATGTGGGGTTGTTTACGAATTGACTAATATGTTGCTTGACATTTTGGTATCCACGCCCTAAGAGTTTATTCCAAGATAGCTTGTTCTAATATCAACATGCTTTGCTCCTAAGACTACATTAGGTACACTGAGTATTAATATTTAAAAGCTTCCTTTTAATTGTTACTGTAATTCTAAAGTTAAGGGTAGTTTAATTGTATTCCCCTAGGTTTTCTATGTCTGCAAGCAGGCACAAGAATCTCTGCAAACGTTTGATGCAAGTTAGGGACTAATTTAGCATCCAAGTTATTCATTTAACATTTGTTACTTATGGTGAAATGCATGCTTCATTGTTTTATTACCTGGATAAGTCTTGACAAAATTCATCTTATTAAAGTCTTCTGAGATATGGAACTCCTGAAACCAAACAACCAAATGATTAAGAAAAAAGTCACAAGGGTCTTTCAGTACTGTGGAGGTGGCACTGATGATACCAGAAAGCGTTTCCATTTAGAAAAAAGTGCTGCTGCTATAAAGAATAATTGCAAATGGTTAGCATCTTATGTTTGATTTTTAAAAACAATGTTTATGTACATTTGGCTACTGGGGATTTCAGTGAGAAGATGACAACACTATTGAGAAACCAACGTGTAGATTAAGGTATAGATTCAGGCAAATACTTGTAGCAGTGATATTTTTTTCCTTCCTTATAGTTACACTGACAGTTCCGGTCTTAAAAAGGACTGATCACAAAACACATGTCTGGAAAGGAATTTCTAGGACCTAACGTAGCCATGGAAAAGGCCCTTTCCTGTGTTCCTACCCATGTAGACCATGTTGTAGTAATCTAACTAGGGTGTAACTAAGATATAACCAACATGTCACCATGTCCAGATCTCACATCTCACACCTTTTTTCTGGTTTATTTAGTGGGTGTCTTACTGTGGATGGGGGGAGAGAGAACTGGGAGCAAAATGGCTGTGTGTATTAAGATACAATGAGAAGATTTTGAGAGAATTGTACCTATGTTTGCCAAGCCATTTCAACCACTGTAAGGCAGAAAAATGAGAACAATTTTTTTTACAAAACTTCACTGAACAAGAAGATACCTGAGAAGATTATCCTAACAGGATGTGAATGCTTTGGACTTACAATATATGCTGGTAAGAATAGCTTTTACACCAAACAAAAACAGACTAAGACCCAGAAATGATTACTATTCAATTTATGTATTAATCAAGCAATCTGTGTTTTCATCTTTGAAATCTGTGTTTTCATCTACTAGTTAAGACTAAATGTATGTACATTTAACCAATGGTTCCGGGCCTGTCAAATCTTTTCTATTCTCCATGCCAATTGTCATTTTACACGTTGAAAAGACACCCTTACTGTCACAAAAATAAGGTGATTGTAAACCTGAATGTAGCTGCGAACATTGAAGTGCAATCACATTGCCTTAATAATCCACCTTAGCAAAAAGGTTCCTTCTAACCAGAGAGGGGATGGGCAACTGAATAAATTTTGCCTAGGAAAGCTTATGATGTGGCCACCCAAAATGATTCAATGAGTCGAAAGCACATAACAATAAGAAATCATGCTGTTACATACAAGACAAGCACAATACTACTTGTTCACTTTAGAGTTAAAGTTAATTCACAGCAAACTTCATTAGAAGTTATGTAAATAAATGCTAAATCAGTAAATAAAAGCAGCTACTGTTCTGTTGAATTAACATGCTTAATTTGGGAATAATAAAAATCAAATCATGTTTGCAAGGCAAAATCAGCAGAAATTAAGAAGACTCTCTGTAGGAATTATATGCTCACCATAATGGCTCCATTATCCTGGCCAACAAATATTCGTCTGCTATCATGGTGATAAGCCATAGTTGAACAAGGAGCTGTCCAAAGAAACCTCAGTTAGCAAAGTAAGGTTGCATCCATGCACTTGTCAAACAAAATCAGAATATGCTCTGCAGAACACACACATTCTTTGTATCTTGCCAGTGGATTCCTTACAAAGAATGGCTATAACTTCATTGTTTCTGCATCAACTCCTACCCTTCTAACAGCAGTTTAGTCTGAGAAACAGAATGGTTGATGCTCATGTTATAATGAGAGCTGTTTTATTTTTTGAAATAATGAAGATGTTAAACATAAAGAAGGAGGGCAGGTCGGGTTTTCTAATTAGTTAGCAATCATATTTACAAGCAAATTTTGATGTGTTTCATTTAATTTATAGGCTGTCCCGCTTGAATGGTGACGTTGAACTTAGTAACATCTTGGTAAGGAAAATATGTGTCCTATATTTAGTATGCATCTTTTCTTCTCTGTGGTTAGAATTTATTAAGACCAGATTATGTAAGTGGTAAAACAAAAGAAGTCATTATGTTAGCTCCATTAAGGCATTAATTTGCATGACATACTAGATTAAAAAAAACCACTTCAGTTAAGTGACTGAAGCCTTCAGAAGCAGCTGTTTGATCTTATGCAACTTCACAGAGCATGAACGGCATTTTTGTTTTTGTCAGCTTGATCTGACTGCCAAGTTCCCACTGAGTTGCCAAAATTATATTTCTTCCATAGAAGGTCAAAGATATTTTGCCTTTTCATGATCTGTCATGAAAAATCCAGAAGATCATAAGATTGTCTTGTGAATTATATGCAGACCGCTAGAACAAGCCTGTTGGGAAATCACTGAATGTGCCTCGATGCTGTAAGATCATTAGAAGGGTCAGAAAGAGGATTAATAAATACCACAAAAGGATCAAGAAGAAAATAAACTGGTTGACATAAACTGAGTAGCTTCAGGATAGCAAACATACTCATCTGAGGAGTGGGATGGAAAATGTAGCACCTTATTGTGCTACAACTTAACACAATAAGGTGCTTAATGTAAATTACTGTTAATTGATAATACTGTTAATTCCCTAAGGCCTTTTGAGGTATATATATGGCGAGATCATCCAGAGTTTTGGAGTTGGGTGCCATCTCTATGTAGATGACACGCAACTCTACTACTCTTTTCCACCCCAATGCAAGGAAGCTCCTCATATCCTGGATCAGGTCAAAGGACATTTAACCAACTACCAAACTCACAAGTTTTGTATTTTTCTGTTTGTTTGCTTTGTTCTGTTTGAAATGTAATATAATGGACTGGTTGCTCTGACACGACAAATAAATAAATATAGTGTCTGGCAGGTCCCATGATATTTTTTAAAAATGCTGCCTGTTTCAACCCTATCAATCAGGAAAAATTATATTCAGAAGTGAGAATCCTTGTGCACTTTTAATACAAAAACACAAGGTTGGGAGCATGGGACACTGAAGTTGGTTGGAACGTATAGTATCCAGCATGCAATGCCAGTGGTACAAGTGAAATGTCTGTCCTGAACATATATACTGAAACCATTTAACAATGCTAAAATCCCTAGCTGTTCTGCCCTCCACTTAGCAAAAGAGTATTTATCTTGATTTAATACTGCACATCATCATCAACCGCACCACAGAAATAAGGGGCATTTCCTTCTTAGGATTCAATTTGGCTCTCTCTAATCAGCGACAACAGAAGAAGCAGGTGCCACCAGCACATCCTCTTACATCCTATTTTCAGCACTAGACTACACAACAATGAGCTAATGCAGGCACAGTTCAAATTAGATACTAATGCATAGTACAAGTGAAAGAGATATAAAGTGCAGTCTTATTTCAGGCCCAGTCCTAAACCTTCACACAGACATTCACTTCAGGTAGTAAAGGCTAAGACAGATGGCAGCAAGGTAAGGAAGGAGAGGGTGGTTTGCCATGAGCCAGGAGTTATATATACAAGGTATTTAACCTTCTCTGACACAGAATGCTGGTGCCTCATGAACTACAAATCCCACGATTTGATAGCACTGAGCCATAGCAGCTAAAGAGATGTCAAACTGCATTAATTCTGCAGTGCAGATGCAACCATTGATACCAGAGATATACTCAAGAAACACGTCAAGAAAGCAGCCCATGTACTTACATGACATGGTGTGATAAATGCTGGGCCAATACTGGCCACTGTCTCTCTTCAGCCATACCCTGATGGTCCTGTGGATTTCAATAAAAGAAAAGAGCATGTGTAATTCTTTACAAATCTATTTCCAGACAATACGTTATTTTAAATGTCCTATATTTCTTCCACATCTACAGTATCTTCATCGGCACTTTTCAAACAAGCACATTAAGTAAAACAGTATTTCAAATTATTCTTAGATGTTCTTCTCCATTCACTGTACTACTGGTATCATAACAATCAGCTGATTTTTATGAGCTACAGTGTAACAGCAATATAAAACCCACACTAGCTAGATTTTAAACCATTATCCAACATTCAGAGTATGGACTTGGTTAAGGAAGCACATGATTCATAAACAGGCTTCCTTCCCTAAGTGCAATCCTTAGAAGTGGGACTAGAGACCAGATATGATCCCCATTGTAGCCCTTCTACCATAGCAGAGTATCATACAATGCAAAGAGGTTACTTCACATAACTAGTATGGTTTAGGACTGGCATGAGCAAACTTCAAGTTTGCCCATGCCTGCTCTATAGCCAACTTCATCCAGTCGTGCGGGGTATTTTTTAAATACAGCACATCTGTAGGAATCTCTAGGTCAGTAGTTCTCAACCTGTAAGTCCCCAGGATTTTGGCCTACAATTCCCAGAAATCCCAGCCAGTTTACCAACTGTTGGGATTTCTGGGATTTGAAGGCCAAAACATCTGGAGACCCACAGGTTGAGAACCACTACTTTAGGTCCTCCAAAGAGATTCTATGGCAAGTTACTAGTGTAAATGGGTCATAGAAATGTGCTGGAGAACCTAGAGATTCTTAAAATGTCTTCTCTCAGTAATATCTTTATCCACAGTTTTTCACTTTTGGTCTTGTGCTTCTCACCTCAGAGAATGTGAAGGGCTGATTGTACATCTATGTACGTATATACAGGAATCAGCATATACGTGTTTATGCCAAACCATGTCTCCGGTTTGTGTGGTACATTCAACTGGTTGCTATGCTTTTGAATTTCCTGTGAAGGAACTGTTTCAAGTTAACAAGATCCCAACTTGCCATTCTTATAGCTAGCAGGCAGAATAATGCTAAAATGGAGCACAGAAAGAGATACGAAGCAAAGCCAATGGAAATTAACAGCTTTCATAGCAAAATATTTTGACAAGCTGTTTTGTGAGCTTAAACAGCACCCACTGTGTTTTAAACAATTCTAGTTCAACATCAGGCATTTTCCCTACTTTGTACTGTCATGGTTTTACAAGTACAAGAAAAGAATAAACTGAAACAGAAAAAAATTAGAAAGGATAGAAAATAAAACCTTCAGTATAATAATCTATGTATCACAGAGACACACCAGTAGAAAATAGAATCCTAAAAGGCATATAACTGAGATTAGATCTCAGGATTTGCCATCTGATTGCTTGCACTTAGCTAATGTCCTACCCTGATTTTTCAGCAAGCAGATGAGATTATACACGTACAAAAACACCTAAGGTGTGTGTTACTGCTTGATGGGAGGAGGGCCTCTTGTTGCACAACAGCCCGTGCAAACAGTAAAGCACACAATTCCACAATTCAAATATAGTTCAGAGTAAATGTGTTGTGTCCCATCTTGAATCTTTCAGTCCCATTGTAAGACAATAGCTCATCCACTTTGAGGAAACACATTCTTCTTCTAGTCTAAAATAATCCAATGTAACAGATGCAGTAATCCCTAAAGACCCGGATAAGCAAGCAGCAATTAACCCTTTGCTCGAAGGAAACAGATTATCCAGTTATTTAAGCATGGGAAAACATTGTCTTGTATGTCATCTCATTAGCTATCTTTAGTGCCATGCAGAAGTATTCACATAGCCACACTAGCTGTTCCACATATGGTGGTTTTACAATCTGGAATTTAATATATATTTTTTGGTCGTGTCAGAAGCAACTTGAGAAACTGCAAGTAACTTCTGGTGTGAGAGAATTGGGCGTCTGCAAGAACGTTGCCCAGGGGATGCCAGGATGATTTTTGATGTTTTATCATCCTTGTGGGAGGCTTCTCTCATGTCCCCGTATGAGGAGCTGGAGCTGATAGAGGGAGCTTATCCGCCTCTCCCCGGATTCGAACCTGCGACCTGTCGGTCTTTAGTCCTGCCAGCACAGGGGTTTAACCCACTGTGTCAATAAATGGCTTTGATTGACATTGTTACCACCAGTTCAATCTTAGTTTTATGACACCGGAGTATCTTTCCCCAAAAGTTTGCAGCATCTCCCAGATGCTTTCTGAAAAACCCCAAATAAGACTTTGATATGGGTTTATTCCAGCAATACTTTTCTTCATGCCACTATTTCCTAAAGTCAATGTTACGGCACATTCCTTCAGAACTGGCCTCTCAGTTACTTTTTTCAGTAATGCACTTGTGGCCTTCTTTCACAGTTGAGTTATAATACTTCTATTGAGTAATAATCGAATTACCTATGCTCTGGGGAATGTTTTGGATATTTTTTTTAAATAACCCATCCTTCTGAATAACTTTATCCTAGTCTGTTTTTGAATAACAGCTTGGTCTTCATGGTAATGTTCATTATATATATATGCTGTTTATCAAACTCCATCCAGAAGTCACCAAAAGCAGTTGAATGGTGTCCATCTGAGTGCAATTTCAGTTCCACAGACTGTTTCAGATTAAATGCATTTCTTTGGGAGGGCTTCCAGAAACAAATCCATTGAATCTGTAGAGTTATTTCCAAAAACAATTTCCACAAACAATTGCTTTACTGAGTTCCAGACTCACTTTTCAGACCCAGGTTCATTCTCCACTAATAGTCCAGAATAAAATTGACTTGAGTCTAAGAAAGACCCCCAATCCTCTCCAAATGAGGTAATAAACATCAGATATCTTTAAAAAATAGATCTGAGACTGGAGATTACTTGTGTTCACTAATTTTTGAAATTTGAGGTTTTGCTTCTTCCCTTAGTTTAAGCTCAGGTTGGATAACACCTTCTTCCCCACTGTGATCCCAAAGAGAGCCAACATAGTGTCATGGTTTGACTACGACTCTGGAGATTATGACTGTGTGGACACCAGTGTCCACAGTTTTAGTCGTGGTTTCCAAACAGACACTGGTTGGCCATCTATCAGGGGTGCTTTAATTCAGTGTTCCCAGATAGTAGGGGGTTGGACTGGATGGCCCTTCCAACTCTATGATTCTATGAAATCCTGCTCAGCTGTGGAACTCATTGGGTGGTCTTGGGCAAGTCACATTCTCTCAGCCTCAGAGGGAGACAAAGAATCTCTCTGAACAAATCTTGCCAAGAAAACCCCACAACAGGACAACCCTAAGTAGGAAACAAATCTGAGGAGTTGCCTTGGCAGAGAAAATCTTCTAAACTTTGCAAACTGTAGTACATTCCTTTGCATCTCATCGCCTTTGGGAAACTTTCTCCACACTCCAGGCTGTCATTCACTCCATACTTTAATGCCTTTCAGTTGTTAGATTTTATTATGTATTAAATGTTTGTGATGTGTTACATTCTGCCTATTTAAGTTGTTAATTTTTAAAAGATTTGGTTACCTTTTGGATTAGTTATTATAAGTTTATATAGTGGTTGTTTTATTAATTGTTTTTTATTTGATTTGATGGGTTGTTTGTTTTTGGCACTAAATGTTTGCATTTTTGTTGGAAACTGCCCTGAGCCCCTCTGGAGAGATAGGGTGGGTTACAAATAAATAATGATAATAATAATAATAATAATAATAATTATTATTATTATTATTATTATTATTATTATTATCCCTTGTCTAAGTATAACACTTCATGAAACTGGCAAATTTCACTACAGCAGATCTGATATGTTTTATTCCCCTTCTCATACACACTATAACATTACACTATAACAACATTTGAAAGATTTTTTGTTCCTGGTTTGAAGGTGATATTTCCTGTTCAATTCTGCAGGTAGTTGTTATACTTCAGAAACTTGTTTTTATGGCTGCCATTTAAAAACCTTTCAATGTGCAATTTTCAACCTTTTGTGTAGACCGCGAAACAAAGATTTCACAGCTAAATAAACTTTTCCCATGTTTTCATGACAGAACCAATTAGGGAAACGAGATTTATAACCCGGGAACAAAAAAATCATGTTGCATAGTGTAACTGTTATGCCCCCCAAAAATGTAATCCAAAGGTATCCATGATTTTTAAATAATGATGCAAATAAAAGCATATCAAAATATTCTTTAAAATAGAAGCAGCATGAAAAGAATTCAATACATCACTAAATGGGAACAAAAGCAATTAAAAGACTCTTTTAAAAAGGAGGTCAGTTAAAACCTTGACTGCCTGAATTTAAAAAAAGGGTTTCAGCTTTCTTCTTGGCCCCTTTTTGGTAATGGTTCGGGCCCAGTCTACTTGAGGGACTGACCGCATTTCCTCCTACGATCGTTAATAATGTATACTATTAGCTGGCCCTGATTGTTTCTTGTCTGGTTTTTTTTTTTTTTGCATTTTTATGTTATGTAATTTTTGTCATTTTTTAACCATTGTGTGCCCACTCTGAATCCCACCCATGGGAGAAAAGCAGGGATGAAAATAAATAAATAATAATAATAATAAGAGGGCAGCGAATATAAGAAGTTAAATCTGGAGAAGATTTAACCCAGAAATGAGAAGACGGGAAGCCAACCTCCCCACCCCCCTTTTCGTTTTCCTCCCCTGAATCTATCCCATTTTCTTTCTTTACTATTACCTATCCTCAACTCAACCTTACCACAACCCTTATTCCCTCGCCCCTATCCTCTCTCTTTCACTTTCCCCAACTTTTCCTCACCCCTTCCTAAATTTACCCCTCCCCTTTTGTTTTATGTAACTGAAAACTTTCTTAATAAAAATATTTTTTTAAAATAATTATTTTTTTTTGTCGTGTCAGGAGCGACTTGAGAAACTGCAAGTCACTTCTGGTGTGAGAGAATTAGCTGTCAGCAAGGGGACGCCCGGATGATTTTTGATGTTTTTATCATCCTTGTGGGAGGCTTCTCTCATGTCCCTGTATGAGGAGCTGGAGCTGATAGAGGGAGCTCATCCGCCTCTCCCCAGATTCGAACCTGCGACCTGTCGGTCTTCAGTCCTGCCGGCACAGGGTTTAACCCACTGCACCACCGGGGGCTCCAAAATAATAATAATAATAATAATAATTCAACACATCACTACCTGGGAACAAAAGCAATGAAAAGGCTCTTTAATCCTGCCAGCAGAGGGGTTTAACCCATTGCACCACCGGAGGCTCCAAAATAATAACAATAATAATAATAATAATAATAATAATAATAATAATAATAATAGGGTTGTTGTAGGTTTTTCCAGGTTATATGGCCATGTTCTAGAACATGGCCATATAACCCGGAAAAACCTACAACAACCCAGTGTTTCCGGCCATGAAAAGCCTTCGACAATACAATACAATAATAATAATTCAACACATCACTACCTGGGAACAAAAGCAATGAAAAGGCTCTTTAATCCTGCCAGCAGAGGGGTTTAACCCATTGCACCACCGGAGGCTCCAAAATAATAACAATAATAATAATAATAATAATAATAATAATAATAATAATAATAGGGTTGTTGTAGGTTTTTCCAGGTTATATGGCCATGTTCTAGAACATGGCCATATAACCCGGAAAAACCTACAACAACCCAGTGTTTCCGGCCATGAAAAGCCTTCGACAATACAATACAATAATAATAATTCAACACATCACTACCTGGGAACAAAAGCAATGAAAAGGCTCTTTAAAAAAAGAGGCCTGTCTGAATTTTTAAAAAAATGGGTTTCAAAACCTCACAACCTCTGAGGATGCTTGCCACACATGCAGGAGAGAATGCTTCTAGGACATGATATTGAGAAGCTGGAATGTGTCCAGAGGAGGGCGACTAAAATGATCAAGGGTCTGGAGAACAAGCCCTATGAGGAGCTGGGCATGTTTAGCCTGAAGAAGAGAAGGCTGAGAGGAGACATGATAGCCATGTATAAATATATTTATAAATACACTAGCTGTACCCGCCACACGTTGCTGTGGCCAACCTTCCCTTTCTCTCCTTTCCCTCCTTCCTTCACCTTCCTTCCTTCCTTCCTTCCTTTCCTTCTCTTCTTCCTTCCTTCTCTATCTCTTTCCTTCCTTCCCCCTTTTTCTTTCTCTTCTGCTGTCTCTTTTCTTCCTTCTCTCTTTCCTTCTTTCCTTCCCTCCCTCTTTCTCTACATCTTCCCCCTTCCTTCGCTCCCTCTTTCCTTCCTTCTTTTCCTTTTTTCTTTCCTTCTCTCCTTCCTTCCTTCTCTAACTTTCCTTTCCCCCTTTTTCTTTCCCTCCCTCTTTCTCTCCTTTCTTCCTTCTCTACCTCTTTCCTTCCTTCTCTCTTTGCTTCCATGCTTCCTTCTCCCTTTCCTTCTTTCTTTCCCTCTTTCTTTCTTTCTTTTTTTCCTCCCCTTCTCTCCCTTTTTCTTCCCCTTTTTTCTGTACCCAATTTCTGTCCTTCACTCATAAAAACACTGAAAAACACAGCAGAAGGGACTTAAAATGCCCCAAAAAGCTAATGACAAAAATGACAATACAGTAAAAAGGGAAGAAAGTCATTTTTGTCATTAGCTTTTTGGGGCATTTTAAGTCCCTTCTGCTGTGTTTTTCAGTGTTTTTATGAGTGAAGGACATACATTGGGTTGTTAGGTGTCTTGTATCCAAATTCGTTGTCAATTCCCCCAGTGGTTTTTTAGTTCTGTTAATCCCATATTTATTTATATAGAATTTATGCATTTATAAATACATTTATACAAGAGGAAGTCATAGTGAGGAGGGAGCAAGCTCATTTTCTGATGCCCTGGAGACTAGGATGCTGAACAATGGCTTCAAACTACAAGTAAGGAGATTCCATCTGAACATGAGGAAGAACTTCCTGACTGCGAGAGCCGTTCAGCAGTGGAACTCTCTGCCCCGGAGTGTGGTGGAAGCTCCTTCTTTGGAAGCTTTTAAACAGAGGCTGGATGGCCATCTGTCGGGGGTGCTTTGAATGCAATTTTCCTGCTTCTTGGCAGGGGGTTGGACTGGATGGCCCATGAGGTCTCTTCCAACTCTATATTCTATGATTCTATGATTCTATGGCCATCTGTCGGGAGTGCTTTGAATGCAACTTTCCTGCTTCTTGGCAGGGGGTTGGACTGGATGGCCCACGAGGTCTCTTCCAACTCTTGTGAAATAGCTCTGGATGGCCATCTGTCAGGGGTGCTTTGAATGCAATTTTCTTGCTTCTTGGCAGGGGGTTGGACTGGATGGCTCATGAGATCTCTTCCAACTCTTTGGAGTCTTTTAAACAGAGGTTGGATGGCCATCTGTCGGGGGTGCTTTGAATGCAATTTTCCTGCTTCTTGGCAGGGGGTTGGGCTGGATGGCCCATGAGGTCTCTTCCAACTCTTTGATTCTATGATTCTATGAGAGCTGGATGGCCATCGTCAGGGGTGATTTGAATGCAATATTCCTGCTTCTTGGCAGGGGGTTGGACTGGATGGCCCATGAGGTCTCTTCAATTCTATGATTCTATGAGAGGCTGGATGGCCATCTGTCGGGGGTGCTTTGAATGCAATTTTCCTGCTTCTTGGCAGGGGGTTGGACTGGATGGCCCATGAGGTCTCTTCCAACTCTTTGATTCTATGATTCTATGAGAGGCTGGATGGCCATCTGTCGGGAGTGCTTTGAATGCTATTTTCCTGCTTCTTGGCAGGGGGTTGGGCTGGGTGGCCCATGAGGTCTCTTCCAACTATTTCATTCTATGATTCTATGAGAAGCTGGATGGCCATCCGTCGGGGAGTGCTTTAAATGCAATTTTCCTGCTTCTTGGGAGGGGGTTGGACTGGATGGCCCATGAGGCTCCTTCTTTGGAAGCTTTTAAACAGAGGCTGGATGACCATCTGTCGGGGGTGCTTTGAATGCAATTTTCCTGCTTCTTGGCAGGGGGTTGGACTGGATGGCCCATGAGGTCTCTTCCAACTCTATGATTCTATGATTCTATGAGAGGCTGGATGGCCATCTGTCGGGAGTGCTTTAAATGCAATTTTCCTACTTCTTGGCAGGGGGTTGGACTGGATCAGTCGGGGTGTATGATTCTATGGCCATACACCCCAAAAAACCTACAACAACATGGTTTCAGCTTACTTCTTGGCCCCTTTTTTGGCAACATGTCTACCCTGCTGAGATTCCTGGCTGCAAAAGGATGAGAAGGGAGAGGAGAAGGCCTGGCTGCTTAGGACGCCTGGAGCTCTTTTTGTAAACAGATTTAACACAGAAAGACAAGTTAAGTGGGTGTATTTTGTGCTTAAGAGCAAAATAAACGCCCCCTTTTTTGTTTTCCCTCCTTGGCAGCTCCAAAAATAAAGGAGAAAGGGGGCGTGGCGCTTTCAGGCAGGCATGGGCCAACTTGGGCCCTCCCTCCAGGTGTTTTGGACTCCAACTCCCACAATTCCTAACAGCCTGCCGGCTGTTAGGAATGGTGGGAGTTGGAGTCCAAAACACCTGGAGGGAGGGCCCAAGTTGGCCCATGCCTGGTGTCGATAATCAATGAATCTCCCCAAATCTATATCCCGAACCCTCTTGACCTGTCCTCGCTGGCGGTGATGACGCCGTCCTCCTTGGGGATGACGAGGGCGGCGCTGACGGCGTCCTGGTGGCCCTCGATCTTGCTCAGCAGCACCGGGCGGCTGCTCTGAGGCCGAGAGTGGATCTCCGCCGCCATCTTTGACGCCGCCAACAGGAGGAGGAGGAGGAGGAGAGAGTGCCGTAATCGCCCTGAGAGCGGCGCCCCCGGAAGCAGCGCGAGCGTCTTCCGTAATGTCCGGATAAGCAGCGCGCCCCCTCCCCCCCTGTTTTTTTATTTACCCCGGAAGCGGCGCGTTTGGGAATAGGAAAGCCTCTCCTGCCGTAATGGCGGGAAAAGCCGCGCGCGCAAGATTCATGGTGTTCCAATTCCCGTAAAGCACAGTCAAGAGGCGCCGCTGTGAAAGGGACAAGACAATAATAAGGCAGTGTAGACCAGGCCTGGGCCAGCTTGGGCCCTCCAGATGTTTTGGATTTCAATTCCCACAATTCCTAACTGGGCTGTTGTAATAATAATAATAATTATATATATAAATGTTCTGTGCATAATGAGTACCTTAAAAACAAAAGAACCAATGAGCGAAATCACACCAAACTTGGCAACAAAATGTCTCACTACACAAGGAGTGATCATCACTCAAAAAATTATGATTTTGTCATTTGGGAGTTGTAGTTGCTGGGACTTATAGTTCACCTACAATCAAAGAGCATTCTGAATTCCACCAATGATGGAATTGGGCCAAACTTGGCACACAGAGCTCCCATGACCAACAGAAAATACTGGAAAGGTTTGGAGGGCATTGACCTTGAGTTTGGGAGTTGTAGTTCACCTATATCAAGAGAGCACTGTGGACTCAAACAATGATGGATCTGGACCAAACTTGGCACGAATATTTCATATGCCCAAATATGAACATAGATGGAGTTTAAGGGAAATAGACCTTGGCATTTGGGAGTTGTAGTTACTTGGATTTATAGTTCACCAACAATCAAAGAGCATTCTGAACTTCACCAATGATGGAATTGAACCAAACATGGCATACAGGACTTTCATGACCAACAGAACACACTGGAAGGGTTTGGTGGGCAGTGACCTTGAGTTTGGGAGTTGTACTTCACCTAAAACATCCAGAGAACACTATGGACTCAAACTATGATGGATCTGGACCAAACTTGACACAAACACTCAATACACCCAAATATGAACACAGATGGAGTTTGGGGGAAATAGACCTTGACATTTGGGAGTTGTAGTCACTGGGATTCACAGTTCACCTACAATCAAAGAGCTTTCTGAACCCCACAAATGACAGAATCAGGGCAAACTTCCCACACAGAACCCCCATGACTGACAGAAAATACTTAAGGCCATCCAATCCAATTCGCTTCATCAGGGCAAGAAAACATTATCAAAGTCCTCCTGACAAAGAGCCATCCAGCCATAGATAGAGATAGATAGATAGATAGATAGATAGATAGATAGATGATAGATAGATAGATGATAGATAGATAGATAGATAGATAGATAGATAGATAGATAGATAGATAGATAGATAGATAGGATTCACACACAGAGAGATATAGTATCATAGATTTGAAAGGGACCCTTAAAGAAGGACAATGATATGTTGCATGTTCCAGGGTGGGCAAAGCAGACAATCTCCATATCAACACTGACAAAGACACAGCAAGAAATACTGTTTACCCACAAGCATAAAGAAATTACATATATTAGAAACCAACACATTCTCATTACTTTATTTTCCAGATCACCAGACTGGGCCACAGCAATGTGTAGCAGGGGACAACTAGATGGGTTTATAGATCTGTGGAATGGCCAGGGTGGTGTTGCACTCCAGGGGACATCCATAGGGATGCCAAGGTGCTTGTTTATAAAGCTATTGTCCTCCCAACCCTGCTATATGTCTGCGAAATGTGGACTGTCTACAGATGTCACACGCAACTCCTAGAACAATTCCATCAGCGTTACTTAAAAATCTCCAGAGAAGGAGACTCCGCCACACTAGTCATCCCCCATCCTTTTACCAGTTGGCTGAGGCTGCAAGTGGTTAGTGTAAGGCTGTCCATGCAGCTCTGGACAAGTCTACATATGGACCACCAAATGCAGCATGGCCCAAACACAAATCAAGGAACATTAAAGGTGCTGCAGACTAATTCATCCAGAGAAGTCAGCCATAGCAGAGCACCTGATGAACCAACCTGGACACAGCATATTATTTGAGAACACAGAAATGCTGGACCACTATAACATCTACCATGTCAAACTACATAGATAAATCATTGAAATCCACATGCATATGGACAATTTCAACAGAAAAGAAGAATCCATGAAAATGAACAAAATCTGGCTACAAGTATTAAGAAAACTCTAAAATCAGGACAGTAAATAAAGAGCAATGCTAAAAAAACAAAAAAAAAAACAGGGGAGTTCCAGACAAGAATCAATGAGGGCCAGCTAACACCTTCCAACAAAGGATTTCCCCATGCAGTAAGCAGACAGGCTTTGAAGCTGCAAGGCTATTCAATGCTAATCAAGGTGGCCAATTGCAACATTCAGACTTACCTCAAGCAGACAAGAGTTCTTTCTCCCACTCTGAACATTCCACAGATATATAAACCACACTTGCCTAGTTTCCAAAAGACCCCACAACCTCTGAAGATGCCTGCCATAGATAGGGGTGAAACATCAGGAGATAATGCTTCTAGAACATGGCCATACAGCCCGGAAAACTCACAGCAACCCAGTTTCTTAAATACAGTTATGGATTGCTGAGGATGGGTGATGAAAGGGTGTAAAAAAAAAACCCCTAAAGCCTCTCTGAATATTTATCAGAGTTGTGCTTTTTAATATAGTCTTGGGGGAAGGGGATGAATACTCTTTGATATACTCTTCAGGGGAGAAAAAGCCTCCCATCAGAATGCAAGAAGGGTGGAAGTAGCCTGACTTTCCAAGGGGGGAACCTCTGTAACCAACATGTGACAAAGAAAGCCCCACCTTTTATATTGGCCAGCCTAGGCTCTTTGGGAAAGTTTAGGAAAGTATTTCATAGAATCATAGAATAATCCGAGTTGGAAGAGACCACATGGTCTCTTCCAACCCCTTGCCATGCAGGCAAAGCAAAAAATATCCCTGATGGCCATCCAGGCTTTGTTTAACACCTTCCAAGGAAGGAGCTCCCACCACACTCCGAGGCAGAAATTTCCACTACTGAACAGCTCTTATAGTCAGAAATTCTTCCCAATGTTCAGATGGAATCTCCTTTCTTGTAATTTGAACCCATTGCTCTAGTTTCAAGAGCAGCAGAAAATAAGCTTGCTTCTTATGACACCTTTTCACATATTTATACATGGCTATCATGTCTCCTCTTAAGCATCTTTTCTGCAGGCTAAACATATCTGGTTCTTTAAGATGCTCCTCATAGAGCAGGGTCTCTAGACCTAGATCTAAAATGATCAAAGGTCTCTAGACCTTTAATCATTTTAGTTGCTCTCCTACGGACACCTTCCAGCTTGTCAATATCTCTTTTGAACTGTGATGCCAAGAATTGGACATAGTGTTTTTGCAGGTGTGGTCTGACCAAGGCGGAATAGAAGGGTGGCATGACTTCCCTGGATCTAGACACTATACTATTTATACAGGTCAAAATCCCATTGGCTTTTTAGCTGCCACATTACATTGTTGGCTCATGTTTAAATTGTTCTCCATGAGGATTCCAAGATGTTTTTCACACGTACTGCTATCGAGTCAGGCGTCCCCCATTCTGTATCTTTGCATTCTGATTTTTTTCTGCCCAAGTGGACCATCTTGCATTTGTCTCTGTTGAACTTCATTTTGTTAGTTTTGGCCCATCAGTACCAACAGTTTAGGACAAATAATGTATACTTCTAATCCAGATACGTCTCACTCCCTTGTTGAAATTAAGTATACTATTAAAGCATCCTTGGTGGTAAGCATTCAACCTCACATTATAAATCTCTTTAGGAAGCGAAAGTCCAGTCTAAACTGCCATATGTATAATGCTGAAGTTTGAAAGTGCATTATATGGTCAGCATAGACTCATATAACGCAGGCCAACGTAGACTCCACTGCATTGTGGTAACCAATGTAGACTCAACACTGATCAGTGTAAATGGGCCCAAGTGAGTTTGTTTCACTCAGTCAAAAATCTTTCCCAACCATTTAATCGGCCCTTCTTTTTATTGATATGGCATCCATTAGGTTGAGTGATCCTTTACAGCAACAGAAAACCAATTGTTCCATCGATTTAAAAGGTCTTCCGATACTGAAGATAGGCATAGCTTCTTAGTAGTTTTTTCTCCTTGCTGAGCTCTTTCCACTTTTCCTAATAGAAATTTGGCACCAAGTCTTCCAATAAATATGTTCTTAGACTGTGGTATTTGGAACTGGATCCAGTGCTCAGATGAAGTCTGACTAAAGCAGCATAGTGACATAACTTTTTGCAAAGAATAAAGTGTGTAATGTGTGTGTGTGTACACACACACACACACACAAAGCTTTCAAGTTTTTGTCTCTTATGAACACAGGTTTGCAGTGATCCTAGATTCATTGTTGAGCCTGGATCCCCAGGTCTCGGCGGTGGCTAGGGGAGCTTTTGTACAATTAAAACTTGTGTACCAGTTGTGCCAGTACCTTGAGAAGTCTGACTTGGCCACGGTAGTCCACACTCTTATTCCATCCCAAATAGATTACTGCAATTCACTCTATGTGGAGTTCCCTTTGAAGACTGTTTGGAAGCTTCAACTAGCCAGGTTGCTTACCAGGGTGGCAAACAGAGAGTATACAACCCCTCTGCTATGCCAGCTCCACTGGCTGCCAGTCTGCTACTGAGTACAATTCAAAGTGCTGGCTTTAGCTTATAATGCTCTGACCGGTTCCAGCCCAGTTTACAAACTGCCGCAAAGGTTAAGATCATCCGGGGAAGCCCTGCTTCCGGTCCCACCATCCTCGCAAACGCGACTGGTGGAGACGAGAGACAGGGCCTTCTCAGTGGTGGCCTCTCTTCTGTGGAACTCCTTTCCCAGTGACATGAGATCAGCCCCCTCCCTCCTATCCTTCAGAAAACAACTCAAATATGGTTGTGGGGTCAAGCAGGTTTTTTATTTTTTTTATTTTATCTTTGTCTCTCTTCCTCTTTTACAATTGTATTTGTATAAGAAAATCAATAAAATGATTAAAAAATTAAAAAGATTGATACCGACCCTATGTTGCTGACAATGATTTGACATGGACTATTTGAATTTGGGTGATTTTAAATTATTGTTTCAATAATTTAATGTTTTAATTACTGTTTTAACTGCAATTGTTATTTATGAATCTGTATGATGGGGGTGAGAAGGATGGGATATGAATATGCGAAATAAACAAACACAGAAATGGCTCAGCTATCTTGCTGGGCTCCTGGGAATAACTTTCAAAACACCAGTGTAATACAAAGGTTTTCCTACTCATTGTTCTTCAGCCTAACAAAAACAAATTATATAAAAGCAACAGTAGCTGTGTATCCTTCACTAATATTTTCCCTAAGTTTTGGAAAATGTGACCTTAGCTGTTTGATTCTCTTTTAATAACAATTTGGATTGAGGCTTGATATTTAAGACCTCTAAATTAATCATGATAAGCTCAGATGTCCAAAAGTAAACTGTTGATATCTTTAGGCATATTGCCAAACCTCCTTCTGATACCACTTTCAGTGAAGCAGTGTAAATTAAGTGACAGACAAGAAAATACAAAACAGTGTAAATGGAAATAATGGTTTTATTCAATAGTATATTGGCAATCTGTCCACAAGATGGTGCTGTAACCATTTTTAAAAACTCTGAAATTAAATCTCAAAGCAAGTTAAAACATTCTGATTTCTCATTTGAAGAAATTTGTTTTCAGTAAAACATTTTACAACTTTTACATGTTTAAATATTATCTAGGAGACATCAAAGCTGACTTCCATAATTCCCAATACATACACAAATGATTTCAGGACATTAGACTGCAGTTCAATGAACGTGATGCTCAGAATCCATAGGAAGCTGCATTAATCACACAGATCCAGCAACAACCCAAATACCAAGATAAGGGGGAAAGGGAGGTGTCACTTCGAATGACCAGTGTTTAAAATCTCTGCATTGATTAGTATAAATCTTCTCCCATGTCTTGCTTGTCATGATTCCTTATTGGAATACTAGAAAAACATAGCTTCAGGTTGAGTTATTTCTAAAACTGACATGAGCGAACATGTGATTTTGCTATCTATTACAGAGCAATCTAAAGGATATCCTTTAAAAACTTAGGTCAGTTAGTTACTTAAAAGCAGAAAAAGTTATCAAACCCATGAACATTATAGGTTTCGTTGAACAAGAATAAGCTAAGGAAAAACAAGTATGAAAAAGTTTGATGGCAGCCTAATGCAATGAATCTAATGTTATTGCGCATGGATTCAGAAATTAGGCTTTAATACTCGTGCATGAATTCACTGGGCAATGTTTTACAAGTCATTCCATGTGCATGTGTCCCACTACATGAATGAGGTTGCATGCTCTTTTCTATTATTTAACCTCTTCAAGGAGATCCAAAACTTTCATTTCTGCTTTTACATGAGTTCTGTGATATCTGAACTCTAAGAATGGTGTTTAAAATATTATTTAAAAATCAAGCCAGAAACAGATTGTAGTTTCAGCCTCTGACTTGCTCCCATTAACTATGGTTTATTACAATAGTTCCCTAGGAATAGGTAAGTGTTGTATGCCGAATCGAGTCCTTTCGGTGAGATGGGGTGGGGTATAAAAATAGTTACTTATTATTGATGTTCTCCAGAAATTCTCAACCCCACTTCCAATAATCTAGCTCTCACGGAACCTGCTGATTTGGGGAATTGTAGTCCACACATTTAGGATGGAGTAGCTGACTTAATCCTGGTTTAAGCAAAGGCTTTTGATGTCATCAACTTGCAGAACGATCCAAGAATCCGACTTTTAGGCTTTAGAACATGTCACAACAACCACCTAGTTTATTCCTGCCTTTTTAGATAAAGGAAAACAAATACGCTAGTGCAGGCATGGGCAAACTTCAGCCTTCTGGGTGTTTTGGACTTCAGCTCCCATAATTCCTAACAGCCTACTGGCTGTTGTCCTCCCAACCCTGCTATACACCTGTGAAACGTGGACTGTCAAGACATCACATTCAACTCCTAGAATGATTCCATCAGCGTTGCCTCTGAAAAATCCTGCAAAACCCTTGGGAAGACAGGCAGACAAAGGTCAGTGTGCTTGAAGAAGCAAATACCACTATAATTGAAGCGATCCTCCTATGCCATCAACTCTGCTGGACTGGCTATGTTGTCCGAATGCCTGATCACCATCTCCCAAAGCAGTTACTATACTCCCAGCTCAAGAACAGGAAATGTAATGTTGGTGGACAGTAAAAGAGATTTAAAGATTGGCTTAAAGCCAACCTTAAAAACTGTGGTGTAGACACCGAGAACTGGGAAGCCTTGACCCTTGAGCACTCTAACTGGAGGTCAGCTGTGACCAGCAGTTCTGCAGAACTCGAAGAGGCACAAATGGAGGGCGAAAGGAAGAAACATGCCAAGAGGAAGACTCATCAAGCCAACCCTGACCGGGACCGCCTTCCACCTGGAAACTGATGTCCTCACTGTGGGAGAACATGCGGATCAAGAATAGGGCTTCACAGCCACCTACGGACCCACCATTAAGACACTACACTTGGAGGAACATCATCCTCAGGCTATGAGGGATCGCCTAAGTAAGTAAGTACTGGCTGTTAAGAATTATGGGAGTTGAAGTCCAAAACACCTGGAGGGCCAAAATTTGCTCATTCCTGATCTAGTGCAATGTAAAATAGTAATTCACTGCTATCACTGTTCAGCCACCAGATTCTATCCGATTCTAAAACTCTTTATAGTCAACCAAAATAGGACCACCTACTTCCCAAGTTTCCATTCCTACCACGCAGTCATAATGCAAGTGTCAAGAAATACCTGGTAGCCAAGTGCAACTAATTCTGAAGTTCTCTAACAAATTATCATAAGTTATGTAAAGTCTGTGAAATGTTTGGCTTAATCTCCTTTGAGTAAACCCAGGAGAGAAATGGAAGATCTACGAACTACAAAGGAGAATTAGAAAAGACCATCCGAAGTACAAGCTGGAACATTCCAAAGCAAGTTTAATAGGTACAATCCGTGCTGAAAATAACCTTTGTTGTATTTAAATGTAATTTTTAAAACCTAACAGAGAAAGCTCACTATATTTCTTGAGAATGCATTCTTGCCACAGGAGACAATGCCTCATCATCACCAATTTAATACTAGAAGCAGCTTGCATTTTACAGTATCAAAGTTTGCATTCATGAAGATGATACCTCAATGGATAGATTAAAATTGCTGGGTCTCAACTAAGAGAGATTTATTTAGCAGATGGAAGGGGATTTCGTTTAGTTAGTGCCACACAAAAATCAACAGAACCAATGGTTTTCTATTTACTCAAAAATAGCTGTATCCAAAAATGTCAACATTATTAATAGTGTGGGTGCTCATAGCTGGGATCTTTATGAAGGAAGTTGCAGGTTTTGATCTTTTTTTTTTAATCTTGCAAGGAAAACACATGACTCTAGTAGTAATATTTTAAGTTAGAGGAACACAATCTCCTGGAACACTTTAGAAAAGTAATTGAACAGAGATATTCTAAAATTGCTGGTCATTCTTTGAAGAAAGTGCAAAACACATACAAGAGCACAGCAATATTCTACCAAATTTTCCACTTGGCAACTGAAAATACCATTCAACTCCCTGAAATACAACTAATAATCTCCCACCGACATCACATTGACACTATACTGTTTTTTAACAGTTCATAATGCATTTATTTTTTTTCCTTTGTACAAAAAATATAAAATTTAAATCCATAGAAAGTGTATACTAGCAATGAAAGTTTTACATTACATCAACGAAAAGGAGTTAACCGGGACATTAGTTGTTTAAGTCTCAGCAATGCATGCACAATATAAAATAAACATGGCTAAAGCTTTAAATTTGTTTTTAATGGCAATGCCTCATTAAACTACTCCACTGACAACAGTAGAAGTAGACAGGCATGTACAAAATGGAACCAAAAAATAAAAACAAATCAAAGTTGTCCCTTTAGTTCCAACTCTGGCTAAAGACTTGTCAAATCACAATACAAACTACTCAAACCCAAAAAAATTCAGAGGTTGTTAGCACAATGAACTCATCAGTAGTTTTAAGAATCTTTACATTGTTTTGAAAAAGGCATTCAACTTTTCCACAGAGAACTACTTAAGACTCCTTTTGAAAACCTAGTTCACCAACCACACTCAGAAGCTAGTTTGTAGCCAAAGAATAGTGTACAAAAATATTTAACAGAACACGGGCATCCATTTTTAAATTTGTTTCAGAAGGCAATGTTCTTCTGATGTTCAAGGTTTGTTGACTTGTCCCATAAACAAAACTGCACCTGAGGAAGAAAATGTTGATGCAGACATTTATTAATTCACAAATATCCAGTTCTGTAGTATTTTTTTAAAAAAACCCAACAGATTGATTACATAGTCCAACAAAAATAAATTCTTGGTGTATTGTTTTTTAGACCTGTTCCTGAGGTTATTTGAAGTCCCAATTTAGAAAATTGCATTCAATAGATTGCATCATTTCTAGTTTCTTAGATATGGCTCTTATTATTTTCTATGGGCGAGCAGATAAAAACCGCTATATGGCATATGTTCTGTATCTGATAGGGGAAAACAGATACCCTTTTTGGAACCAGCAGGTCAAATACACCCAGAAACAGGTCCAACATTTGAGGCATGAAAATGTGTGTTGGCCAGTGTTATCTAAGTGATAAAATAGATTATTTAAATGATAAAGTTCAAGTAACAGTTTTTAATCAGACTATCAATTTGTCATCACTAGAGTGGAAATTGTGAACTTCAGATATAAAGACTGAGAGCCCTTCCACCCAGCCCTACATCCCAAAATATCAAGACAGAAAATCTCACATTATCTGAGTGTGGATTCAGATAACCCAGTTCAAAGAGGATATTGTGGGATGTTCTGCCTTGATATAGGGCTGTGTGGAAGAGCCCTCACTTTTAAGGCAGTGTCTCATTAAACCAATCCACCAACAATAGTAATAACAGAAAGGCATATAACAAGCCGAACCAAAATAAAAAAATAAAATAAAAGTGTCTCTTTAGTTCCAACTCTGGTTGGAATCTCTATGGATTCTATGTGGTTATAATTGATAAAACAAATCAAGCCTAGCACTCTGTTCTTCCAAAGTGATTTGGTAATAATAACTTTATTGTTGTACCCTGCCTCCATTTCCCTTAAGAGACTTGGGGCGGCTTACATATGACACAAAGTGCCTAAAACAATGCATAAAATGAGCACACAGTACAATATAAAAATAAAAACAACAGTATATAAAACAACAATCTAAAACTCAGAATAACACTCAATAACCTATGGTGACAACTGCCGTAAAATATGGCCAAACTGTAAACAAGTCAAGGGAATGACATAGTGCAAATTGTAGCTGAGGAGTAAGGGCATGGGATGAAAGTACAGTGCTGTATCATTAATTGCGGACTATTGGGGCTAGACATTCTCAAAGGCTTGTTCAGACATCCCAGTCTTCAAATCCCTCTGGAAGGAGGACAGTGTGGGGTTCCGCCTAAGCTCCTTGGGGTGCTCCAAAGCCAGGGGGCCTCCTCCAAGAAGGCCCTCTCCCTTGTCTTCAAGTGGTGGGACCGCAAGGGCTTCTCTGGCAGATCTTAATGCTCACGCAGGTACATGGGGGAGATGCAATGACAAAGATAGGCAGGGCCTTAATCGTTTAGAGTTTTCTAGGTAATAACCTGCACTTTTAATTGGGACTGGAAACTTATTGGCAGCCAATGTGTTTACTTTTGGCTTGGTTAATATTTCAATTCACAATTAATACTTTAATCCACTGGTTAGAATATGGTAAGTGATTTTATTAACCATGAGGCATCTTAAAGTATATCCTATTCCTTCTTCCTATATATGTGTGTGCATCTAATGTACAAAGTGTGCTGTTTTCAACATAAATTGTCAGTTTTACTAAGGAGCATTTACCCGTTTTTCACTGAAATAACATCATTAAGTGATTCTACTAAAATCCACCCGATACTTTCTGTACAAATATGTTTATGGCCATACTATCTTTAAATTATTCATTCTTTCCAAGCAGATGTTGTTTTCAACCTCTCTTTGATGTGTCGGGCTGGGGGGGGGGGGGGGGGGGGGGATGAGATGATTAAAATGCTGTATATGAATTTAGTTAGGATGTTCTAGTATTTCAGTATCATTCTGAGTCATTTTCCAAGGAAGAAAAAGGTGTTTTCCCTAAGCAGTTAGCTTACACTGAGCCTAGAATATCAATTAGAGGAAAAACAGAGCCGAAAAGTGGAGCAAAGAGAAGAGATGTGTGTTTTGACAACTAGCCAGTGCTCCTCTTCAGAATCACATAATGAGCCTTTGATGTCCCTAAGCTACCCATGTCTGCAAACTCATGCCAGAAGTCTTCTCCTTCTTCAGAGCTGGCGCTTCTACCTCCAGATTGCATCATATATGTAGATGAGATAAATGTGCCAATGAAACAGAGGGACTATTAGTTCCTGGCAACATTCCCTGAACGCCGAAATCCTATAAGCTCCCGTTTGCTCTTGCCTCAAAGAGAAGAAATTGCTTATGCATAATATAGCAGCAAGGAATTTTAGAGCCTCATTTTGTAAAAGATGAAAGTGGATTTAAAGTGTATGTTTTCAACTTCAAGTTTATGTCTCCCTAGGAGTGCTGTATGCATTTTGGCAATATAAACAGAATGAAGCCAACATAAAACTAAGTAACATGTAAGTGCTTACCTGTTGGATTGTGTCGTATGAAGAAAACAAATGGCCTGTCTACTACAAACCAAGGTGGTGATGACCTGGCTATTAAAATTGCAGCTTGGAAAAACAAAAAAAAACAAAAAATAGAAGGATTAGTTTCTCTATAGTTATAAACCAACACCTTCAAAGCTGAGGATTTTAACACATTTACTCTCTTACATATTTACATACATATTTATTCATTTATAGTTTGACTAAGGACATACTGCAGTTCAACAGATCCTGAGCATCTGTGTCCAACCACCAATGCTTCAGACTCACGTTTTGCTCTATTTCTAAGTATATTTGTTAGGCTTTGGGGTACATTTTGAAGCCTGAGGAATGATTCTAAATTGACAATGAAGTTTCTGTACTTAAAAAAAATTATACATAAATACTATATAAAACACTTGGTGATACTTCAGATGCCACTGGTGGTTTGGATCAAACACAGAACACTTACTTGTTGCTGCAGATGCCTTGGTTCCATCTTCACTCACTTCAATTTTTGCTTTTTGTAATATCCGAGATACATGAATGCTTGCTGTTCCTGTTGAGGTTAAACATAATAGACATGTCTACATTACATATATTATGCACACACTCATATGACATTCCTTGGAGAAGTGATCATTATTTTAATTGCAGAAAAGACAAAGCAATTGGATGTAAAATCAGTAATTTTTTTAAAAAATCACACATGCTGAAAACATTGCCTAAGATAATGGCTGGCACCTCTTTGTAATCAATTTGATTTGCACCAGTCCACCCACCCGTGTGCAGAAACTGATTATTATTTCAGGTTCATTGGTTGTTGGTTCGATGGTTGCTCTTATATTCTGTTATAATGTTGTTGTTTTATTCTGTTTTATGCTTGTTTATGTATTTTAGTGTGTTATATTTTAACTATGTTGATCAGGCTCATCCCCATGTAAGCCGCCCTGAGTCTCTCCGGGGAGATGGAGGCGGGGTACAAAAATAAAGCCATTATTATTATTATTATTATTATTATTATTATTATTATTATTATTAGAAACACAACAAGGTAAGTCCACAGCAGACAAGATCAGTCTGCTGGCTGTTGTATTGGATCACACGTCAGACACTTCCCAAGTGTCTAGATCTGCGAATAATGACTGCAGATCTCAGTAAGGTGGCCTTCTGCAGCTGGCAGATGGTAATTTTGTCAGCGCCGATTGTGTTTAAGTGCAGGCCAAGGTCTTTAGGCACTGTACCCAGAGTGCCAATCACCACTGGGACCACCTTTACTAGCTTGTACCAGATTCTTTGCAGTTCAATTTTTAAATCATCATATTCTGTCAGCTTTTCCAGTTGTTTCTCTTCAATCCTTCAATTGTGAGGTCAGGAGTATTGTGCTCCAGAACTCTTTGTCTGTTTGAATTTGGAAGTCCTAGAAGAGTTTGATGTGTTCATTTTCTGTAACTTTTTCCGGCTTATGATCCCACCAGTTCTTTGTCGCAGGTAGATAGTATTTGTGGCACAGGTTCCAATGAATCATCTGAGCAACAGTGTTATGCCTCTATTTATTTATTTATTATTTTATTTATTTATTTTATTTATTTACTGCGCATATATACCGCAATTCTCAGCCCTAGGGCGACTCAATTCAAAAGCAGAACCATGTCGGTCTATGCTCCAATTCTGTGGAACTCATTGCCTCCATACATTAGAGCAATGTCGGAGTTGCAACCTTTTGTAAAGGCGCTCAAGACTTGGCTGTTTGGTTGTGCATTTAAGTAAAGTGATCAGATATAATTTGCCAAATAGTCACTGTTGTATGTTTTTATGTTGAATGTTTTTATACTGTGTAAATGCTATTTTAAATTGTAAGTCGCTCGGAGCACCTTGGTGGAGAACAACTAATTAAGAAATAAAGTGAAGTGAAGTGAAGTGTATCAGTATCCAAAGCATTTTTTACTCTGAGATAAACTGCATAACTTTGGCATCCATGGCAGAAAGTCACACCATTCCTCAAAATAGTGTAGTTCTCCACTCACATATAAGAGAATAAGCAGATAACTCACTCACTTGTTATTTTTAAAAAGTTTGCTTTTGATTGTTCAAACATATCTCGAATCCCAAGCTCTTGTAGAGGTTCTTTTAGATCTGTTTCTGCTTCCACTGTAAACCTGGTGAGAACAACAGAAAAGGCATTGACTCAGGACTGAAAGTAGTCTGTAACGTGACAGGATGTTTTCTTTCAAAAGTAAAATTTTATTATGTCAGATGAAATAAGATAAAAAGTACATACTTGGGTAAAATGACCTGTACTCTCTTTTGTACCATGGTTGTCATCCAGCTCTGTATAGTTTTCGTGCTAATGTGAGGAATAATGGAAGACAGAGGAGTTGTGCTTTCTGTGGGCAGGGCGATCAGCATACTGATAGTCTCACCATGGTATGGCAACTCAATGATATTATACCATAAGTCATTAGGAGTACTTGTTGTGCCTAAAAAATAGCAGAGAGAAAATGGGAAAAAATGTGAATGGCTCCATAATAAGCAGATCAGATTTCATCACGACTGAGGGTGAGAACTTTGCTATTGCCTAGTTCCCAGTCCATTCAACACCAGAGCTTATTATCATCGTCCTGTCCCCCCAAGAGAATTAGAGATTCACAAGGAAGTCGAAGGCAAACAGGAAGAAGGGCAGACACAAATCATCTTTTCCCCACCGCACTCCTTTTCTCTAGAAAATTGCAAATTCCTTTCAGTTCTCCACTTATTTGTAGTTTATTTATGTAGAGCAGCTGACTCGTCCCTTGCCACTGCCTTCACTTCCTCTTTGATCTCATAGCCATAGGGATTTCTGGCTTTTCCCAAGATGGAACACAAAGCCACATTTGTACTGATATCAAAGAGAATACTTATAGGTTCCAGCCAAGTATGTTGCTTCTGCTTCTGCTGCTGCTGCTGCTGCTGCTGCTGCTGCTGCTGCTGCTGCTGCTGCTAATAATAATAATAATAATAATAATAATAATAATAATAATAATAATGTATAGGCTTCATCTCTGAGCCATGCTACCCACTGGAAGGCAGTTCACTTCATTTGAAAGAGTATTAGAGACAACAATTCCTGCTACCTCTCATATGCTTCCTAATACCTATGAAACCAAGGTAAGAATGAAAAGGAAACAACTGCACATGGGAAAAGGCATGGGGGATTTCCCTTATTCTCTTATGTAATGTTAGACAATCTTAACTTACGAAACCAAAATGTTTCCAAATCTGCTATGTGTCATGTCAAATATATCATTTTAAAATACCAAGGGTACTGACTGTTGGTTAGCACCACATATTCAGAGGATGTGTCCATTGTTTACACTGCTTCTTTCCTTTTTCTGGAAGCTCTCTTGGGACTTTGAGCAGCAGAGACGTGTGTGTGTGTGTGTGTGTGTGCGCGTGTGAACTGCCTCACTGGCAATGTGACAGGAGGTAATATGGGAGGTACAAAGCTCTCTATGTGTCTTACTGTAGATTTGGAAAGAGAAAGTTCGTTTCATAGATAAGAAAAATTCTTAGTAAATTCTTCTGCTGATTCTTCGGAAACCAGCTGTGTAAATGTAAAGACCGAAGCAGAATATGTCCCTTTTTGTGTGTAAAATATATAGCAGTATACCAGAAACAGGTCCCAGAAAGGGACTATTGTACTCCTTTGTCTAGAGTGGAATTAGTGTTAATACTGTAAGGAGATTGTAACTGGCCTGGGGATAATGGCCATGTATTACATGTCCAATGGCATAATCAGATCAGAAAAGGATTCACAGAGGACACCTACTCTTGACTTTGTATTTTAAATGGCTTACAATACTCAGCTAATTTAGATTCTTTTGAAGACGTTGCACGAGAAGCCAACTAAGCTTAGAAAATGTATAATGTTGTCACCTGCCATGAAGGTGACTTTGACATGGCAACCCTATGAATAACAACTCTCTAACTTATCCTTAATAGTCCTACTCAAGTCTTACAGACTCAGGGGCATGGCTTCCTTGACTGGACTGAATTTATTGTAATGCCGTCTTTGTCTTCCTAATGGCTTCCATTTCACCAAACATTATTATAATTTCTAGAGATCCATGTCTTCTCATGATACGGTCAAAATACAACAATCTCAGTTTAGTTGTAGCATCACTTCACTTGCATGAGAGATTAACACAATGGTTTTATAATTATCACAATCTCTCGTATCTCCTTACTTTGGGATTGCAAAATATACGCATCATTTTGAATTAGAAGAAAGTGCAAAAGCTGGGTTGCAGCTACACATAAAAAAACTAAGATTATGGCAACAAGAATGATTGATAACTGGCAGAGGGAGAAAATGTGGAGTCAGTGACAGACTTTGTATTTCTAGGTGTAAAGATTACTGCAGACACAGACTGCAGCCAGGAAATCAGAAGATGCTTACTTCTTGGGATGAGATTAATGACCAATCTCGATAAAATAGTGAAGAGTAGAGAGACATCACACTGACAACAAAGATCTGCATAGTCAAAGCAATGGTATTCCCTGTGGTAACCTATGGATGTGAGAGCTGGACCATAAGGAAGGCTGACCGAAGAAAGATAGATGCTTTCGAACTGTGGTGTTGGAAGAAAGTTCTGAGAGTGCCTTGGACCGCAAGAAGACCCAACCAGTCCATACTTCGGGAAATAAAGCCCGAATGCTCATTGGAGGGAAGGATATTAAAGCAAAGATGAAGTATTTTGGACACATAATGAAAAGACAGGAAAGCTTAGGTAAGACAATTATGCTGGGGAAAATGGAAGAAAAAAGGAAGAGGGGCCGACCAAGGTCAAGATGGATGGATGGTATCCTTGAAGTGACTGGCTTGACCTTGAAGAAGCTGGGGGTGGTGACGGTAAACAGGGAGCTCTGGCGTGGGCTGGTTTATGAGGTTTTGAAGTGTTGGAAGCAACTCAATGAATGAACAACACAACAGGCTTTTGTTGTTTTCCATATTTGTCAATGTATTTCAGTTAGAATTAAAGGAGATTCTATCTCTGTGACTTGAAAGCCGCTCTACTGGTATGTCATCTGTTCCTGGTGATTTATTTCTCCTATGGGCTCTGAGTACACTTTCACATCCAACATTTTAGGTTCACCTTCAAATGGTTCTTCCTACAATGAACACAATCCTTTCATCTCTGGTGCCACGAGATGCAGAGAAACCGGGCTGTTTTTTGAATTGTTTTCGTAGTCTTTTCATCTGTACTGGCTATGTAACATGTTCCACTAATGAATGCATAGCATCTCCCCGAGAACTAAAAAGTAAAGGTTTCCCCTTGACATTAAGTCTAGTTGTGTCTGACTCTGGGGGGTGGTGCCCATCTCCATTTCTAAGCCAAAGAGCCCACGTTGTCCGCAGATGCCCCCAAGGTCATGTGGCTGGGACGACTGCATGGAGCACTGTTACCTTCCCGCCAAAGTGGTACCTATTGATGTACTCACACTTGCATGTTTTCGAACTGCTAGGTCAGCAAGTTCAGCAGCACAGCCGTTTAACCTGCGGCACCACCGGGGGCTCCTCAAAAACTATTTGCAAGTTATTCTGTGCAAAATGCTTTTCAGAGAGTATAGCCTTTCATAGATGCTGTTACTTTAATTTCATTAACAACTGCATCCACTATACTGCAAAGAAGTCGTTAAGACAATACTTTCTTATAATAGCTGGGTGAAGGAAACAACAACCCTTCTGTTATTCAAGACAATGAAAAATAAAGTTATACTGCAGCACAGATTGCAAGATTAGACAGCCAAGATGTCACAGAAGCTACCAAAAGGGGAAAATTCTTACCTTCTAATTGGTAATGCAACTTTTTACTAGTGTCAGCCTTTACTGAATTATTCTAAAGTTCATCAAAATTAATCTAAAATGATAGAGAAAGCATTGAATTGCTTTCTAAGGCCTGTTTTTCTATAGTCTAGTGATGTTCTGTACAGAATTTTGACAGTTCCTCTTTGGACACAGTCAGATGTCTTGATAAGCCAAGATTCCTACAGAAACCTTTGCTTTCGAGGATAAATCTATGAGCTATTTCTCCGTGCCTAATGCCTTCTGCTCACAGCAGGAGCAGATAAACAAACCAGAGGCTTCCGTCCATGGTTTGTTTAAAATGACATACAAATCTAACAGCTGCTAGTGCTCTAGGGCTCAAACTTTGTTCAACAAGCTAAAGAAAGAAAGAAAAACACACTATTTGTCCAAAGATTTTTTTTTTGCTAGTGTGTGAGATAAGGGAAGTGAACCAGAGGAAGTGAACCAGAGCATCAGTAGCTATGTCAAGAATGAAAAAGCCAGATGTTACTTGTGATTGTACCGATTGCAAATTGGAAAATGGGAATTTTGAATCTGATGAAAAAAGTAGCCTCGTTCAAAATGAGTTCTGGACACATAGAACTGGTATATGATTCTATACAGATTTCACGAGTTTCTTTACTCAACATTCATCAGAAATCAGGAATGAGAAGATAGAATAAGATGCTGATTTAAGACAGAAATCCATGACTATGAGAACAACCAGTTTAGTGGAGGAAGGAAACACTTAAATCACCGCCAAATATTTACCTATGTGTATAAATGTTAAGACTGCTCACACCTTCTTTCCCTTCTCCTCTTTTTGCCCTAAAGTCTAACATACACCTAGCAAACAAAAACTACATTTTCTACGCCAGGAGCAACCTGAGAAATTGCAAGTCACTTCTGGTGTGAAAGAATTGACAGTCTGCAAGGACATTGTCATGGGTTCATGATTGAATGCATTAGTGACTTATCCTTTGAAATGGTTGAAATCAGTTCAGGTCCATCACTCTGCTCCTCAGAATGTGGGGAACAATGTTACCAAATCACCATCACCCCTGATTTTAGACTCAGGATATACTTTTTTGAACAATAAAAGATCATAAGGCAATTTTCAGATTGTTTTCTGTTTTTCAAGATACCTCTCCTGGGCTAAAATGGAGATGGGAGAGCAAAAGTGTAGTAAAATGACCCCTTAGAGCAGTGGTTCTCAACCTGTGGGTCCCCAGGTGTTTTGGTCTACAACTCCCAGAAACCCTGGCCAGTTTACCAGCTGTTAGCATTTCTGGGAGTTGAAGGTCCAAACATTTGGGGACCCATAGGTTGAGAACCACTGCCTTAGAGGTTCTGGCCAACATTTTTTTCAAAATACATTTTTAAAATCTAGGAGTGTGCTCAGAATAGTTTTAGGGTACACTTTTTCCACCTAGCAAGTGCTGCAAAGTCTTTTTTTTTTTTTGCACTATCATGATTATTTCTTCTACCACAATCATTGTGCCTCTCCACAAAACTAGGTTTGCATCTCCTCTGTAGATTTCATGCAGTTTGAAACCAACCTAACTACCAAGGCTCAGTGCTATAATAGGAGTTGTAGTTGTAGGACCCCAACCTTCTCTGCCAAAGAGAGCTAGTGCCTCGCCAAACTACAATTCCCAGAATTTTATTTTATTTATTTTTATTTACAGTATTTATAGTCCATCCTTCCCACCTTGAAGGGGACTCGGGGCAGATCACAGAACACATATATGGCAAACATTTAATGCCGTTATACACTGCCAAAACAGACAACTGTACATAGAGTTATATATAGGCTTTCCCAAATCGGCATCTTAGAGGCATGTGCTCAGTTCCGGCCATTGGGGCGGGGGGGGGGATGATACTGTCACTCCATCTTCCCTGCCAAAGAGCTTTGTTTGTAAACTTTCTCTTTGATCAAATTGCCAGCATTTTTTCTGGCATTTCCTTATGGGTGACTTAAATATCTCCCCAGTTTAAAGCGGTACCTATCTACTCACTTTTGCTTTTGAACCACTTGGTAGGCAAAAGCTGGTCTTAAAGCCAGGAGCTCACCCTGACCCAGGCTTCGAACTGCCAACCTTTTGATTGGCAAGTTTTACTGCAGCTGGCACTTAAAACTGCTGTGCTAAAGCCCGGCCCTCAGAATTCATTGTACTGTGCCATGCTGTTAAAATGATGTCAAACTGCATTAATTATACAATGCAGATGCACCCTAGTACTCAAAATAGCCATCATGGTAAGTATTATTAACTGATAAAAGGCAGTTTATTGCAGTAAGCACATCTATATTTATAGATATTTATAGGAAATGTCCAAGCAACTACCTGTGGTTTATGTCTAAATGCAGGAGATTTCAAGTCAAATTTGGCTTTAAGACTAAATTCCTTTATATATTATATAATGATATACAGAATTTTGCACAACGAATGATTCAACTCACTAGTTACCGTAACTCTACCATAAAATAAATCTGTAATTCAACGTCTTTGCTTGAATTTGACAAGAAATCCTAGGGGGAAAAGTTCAGCACATTTTCAAATTAAACTGTCTTAAACATACCACATCGAAACACTGATAACTGGGCTAGCATAGGTACTTGATAACTCTTTCCATCAGCTGCATTAAATGTTCGCTTTTTTGTGTTTTCTGGCTGAAAGCGTGACTTCCACAATCCCTTAAAATATATTGCATTGACTAGTATCAGCCTGGTCAGAGCACTGTCAATATCGTCTGGAGACAAAACGCTGTCTATCATACCTGGAAAAAAAAGAAAGGAAAATAAAATATACCTTTACAAAATGTTACATGAAATAAAAGCATTGAAGCAAAAACCAGAGCAGTTAAGAGATGAAGCGGAACTGTGCTGGACTTTGGTTGTTAGAAATCAATGAGAGACTTTAGAAGAAATGTTCACTGCCAATACAAAAACTGGAGAAGAGGAGTTGATGTGCATGCACACACACACTTCATTCTTCCTTCAGTACAAATATCATGAAGAAAAATGATCTCGGATCTCATCCCACATATTCTGAATTCCACTTCCATGCGCTTTGGAAATGGAGTCCCATGGGTACCATCACATGACATAAGGGCACTTCCAGGTTGGACTCGGTTTCCACAGCACATGGAAATGGAGCTCAGAATGCGTTTTCAGGTGTTGAGTGCAACCCAACTCTAAACCGGTGAATTATCACATCCACAGAAGTTAATTGGGGGGAGGGGGGGATGGAGGACAACAACTCTAATATACTTTGGGTGGAGAATACATTGAAAAACAGTAATCAAAAATTAATAAAAATCACTTAGAGAGCAAAATTTGACCTGAATTGAAACATTACAGCTTAATTTTGCAGTTGCTGGTCAAGATCCTGCATTATCAATGTAAGTAACTATGATGAAGGTGCACCATCAGGGCACTGGGAAATGATGAATCCAGCGCTTTCCTATTAATGGGATGGGTTATAAGCAGGCAGCGGGAAGACCCTTAATAGTCCTACCAAGACTATTTGTCCCAAGGCACCCCACAATCGGGAGAGTGCTACAGATGTCACTTCCCAGGACTCTGAGCTTAAGCACCTCTGAAATGCAACAGTCAGGATAGTCTTAGGCTGTAGAGGTATGTTTTTGGAATCCCATTCCGTTATTCATTAATCACCAGAGCTTACAGGATGCTAAATCCAGTCTGTCATTTAACAATTGCCAGGTCCAAAGCAAGTCTTTTGTGAGTTTTAACATTCAGATTTTGTGGAAATTTGAAGTATCAAGTGGAAAGGTGGACCAGAGAGACAATCGCAAACAGCAAAGATTCATAGAGACAGTGCAAGAAATGAGAAATACTTATTAATACATCACTGACTGCTTGCAAATATTGGGAGGGGGGATCCCAAAAGCAAACCTTGACACAATTTTACTAAATCACTGTATATAATAAGCCTTCAGCATCTATGGATTTTGGTATCCAGGCAGCAAATGGGGAGAACTTGGGATCAAACCCCAAAATAAATTTCATTTATTCATTTACAGTATTTATATTCCACCCTTCTCACTCCACAGGAGACTCTGGGTGGATTACAATGCACATATAACATGGCAAACATTATATTACTGTAATGTAACATAATATGACTGATTATCCTGACACGACAAATAAAAAAAAAGGCAAACATTCACTGCCATTTAAACATAACATATATAAATAGACACAAAGGCAATTTAACATTCCAGCTTTTCCGGTTTCATTAGGATATGCTCGATTCCAGCCACAAGGGGAGCTGCCGCTTCACCATCCACTTGTGACACCAAGTCCTTGATGGAGTACTTCCTCATTCTTATGCATACTGCTAGAAGGTTTTATGGTGTCGTAAATTAGTTAAATTAGTCACCCTGCATAAAGCGGTACCTAGATTTCCTACTTGACAGATGCAACTGTTTTTCGGCTGCATAGGTAGACAACAAGTTAGACTATTAATGGTTGAGAGCTCACTCCAACCTGTGCTAGCTTCGAACTCATGATCTCTCGATCAGTGGTGATTTCATGCAGCTGGCTACTAATTAGCTGCACCACAGCCCAGTCCTATATGAGTTATAAAATGAACTAATAAAAACCAATAAACCTGTTCTCCAAGCAAGTTACAACCCACATTTTATCAGTGAGAAAAAGAAGTTAACAGGAAAGAGAGGTAACAAGAGAAGATTGTGAATTGCTCTTCATCACATACCCTTGGTTTTATTTCTGACCCAGTGATTAATAGTATCACAGGCCGAGTCCTGGTCCTCAAAGTCAATGCTCTTGACACTGCACTGAAACACATCATTGTTTCTGGAAACAAAAGGCACTTCCATTTTCAAGCCACTTTTTGCAAAGACTGCATTTGCAATTGTTACAAGATCTTTATTCCTCTTGGCCACTATGGCTTTGTTGATCTTCTTCAGCACTTTGCCAACTCCTAAATGAAAAGACTGAAGTTAGAGTAGGATTAGAAAAACACAACTAAAACTAATGTCTAGAGGTGTTGCCATGCTAGTTCTGTTGCAGCAAAAGCTACAATTATTGGGGTGCTTTTAAAGTATTTGTTATATCATAGTATTTCATGAACAACAAATCCATCTGATGGAATTAAGTATTATCCCAACTAAGGCACTGATTCTATGCACATTTATTCAGGACCAAATCCAATGATTAATCCCAAGTAGAGTAGACCCACTGAATCAATAGGTTTTCCATTTATTTTGTTACGTAAAACATTTTTCTATCACCTCACAACTCAGCACAGTTCCCAAAATAATTTGCAACATATAAAAATACTTAACATATTGAATATACAAAAATAACTATATAAAATAATGCTTTTAAAAATGGGTTTAAAATTATGGGCCTCTAAAAACACATGGCACAGCCATTCCTAGTTTTAAGAACTGAAAGCCATGCAAAGCAATCCAGTCTTAGCTGCCTCCCAGAAACTCAAAAAGGATGCAGCCAGCCTGCATTTCCATTGGAGCCAAATGCTGCTACAAAGAATGACCTGCCACTTGTATATACCAACCCAGCTCTGCAGATTGATGGGAAACACAACTGATTTCACTCATCGCGGGTGTTCCTGGAACGGAACATCCGCTATAAGTGAGGGAACACTGTAGTGCAATGACAACTGGAATGGCCTCGGAATATGATACTGGATCATGTGATTTTAAATAAGTAGTTTTAAACATTTGACGTGTTTTTAGCGGTTGGCTTTAACGTATATGTTTATTTTGTTGGATGTTTGTTCGTATGGCATCAAATTATTGCCTATAAGTAAGCCGCTCTGAGTCCCCTAATATGGTAAATAAATAAATTTCCCAAATTTTGGGCAGGTCCATATGGGAGGAGGTGATCCTCCTCTGACATCCAGATGCTAAGCGGTTTAGGGCTTTGTAATTCAAAAAAACACCTTGAAATGAGTTCAGAAGCACATCAAAAACAAGTACAGCCCTTGCCAGACTGATGATAAATGGCTTTGTAAAGACCATTTATTGGTCTAATCTTGCTAGGACTAGTAATTGGATTCATTCCTCAGAAGCAGTTTCCAAGTGCCAGAAGAACCTACTTCAAATAGGTTTAAAAGGATTCCAGAACATCAGCCAGAAGTCTAACCAAAACCCTAACATAGTATAGTAGGGACAAAGCCTTTCAGACGTGGCTCGATTGCACTTCCCAGCATTCTTCACAACTTGCTGTGAGAGTTGCAATGTTTCAATATTTCAGCCTCTTTTGCAACATTCAGATACTGTATTAAGGCAAAAGGAAAAAAAATGCACTCATCATTTGCGAAACTGAAGGAGAGATGAGGTATGAACCAATATTTTTATTTCAGCAGGCATGGAGAAATGTTTATTTTTTGAAACTTTCAGTTTACAGTGGTGTTGTTCCAGGATTCTGTGGTGGACTCAGAGGTGGTGCTGCTCCTCGCACAACACACCCGGGATACTAAAAAGAGCAACAAGGCCTAGCAAATCGTCAAGGGAGCATCTCTAGCTGGAAAATGCAATTCTGATGCCTGCCAATGTCAGAAACACAGCCTGATAGAACACAAACAAACAAAAATAAATACGTTACTCTACAGTAATGAAACAAGAGGGCTGTGGATTTAATTTGTCACTTATAAGGATATTTTATTGAGCAACAGCTCAAAGCATGCATCAGCTCCACACAAAAGGCCAATTTCTGCTTTCCCCACAACCCTGGCAATGAAGCTGAGTTGTGTTTGCTTTGGAATCAAAATGACAGTTCTTGTTAAAGCTACTGTGTTCAGCATCAATGCTGGACACTGAAGCCAAAGATGTCTTCTGGTACGAGAGATAGTGCTTCACTGCCACTTATTTAATAAGCACTGGGTTGAGATAATTGGCTAGTGTTCACAAGTACAGTAGCTACTGTTCTTACTGCAGCCCGCTTTTCATGCGTATGGGAAAACAGAGATATAAAAGAAGATTTATTTCAGAGACTGCTCAAGATCCCAAACCCAACAACAACATATTAGATTAGAAGAACTAACCATTTACACTGTATCTCATCACTGTAGTCAGCTGCTTCTTCGTCTTGCCATCAGCTCCTAGCTGGAGCATTCCAAGAACTGATGCAATCCCATGTGGAGAAACCACAACATTATCCTTGGGCCTGTTTTTGACTAGTTGATTGAAAACTTGGATTCCAATATCTGAGCCCAGTTCCTCTAGAGACATGGGATTCGGTGGGAAGCACATGCATGTTGAAGCCAAGGCAGCAAACAAGAGAGCGAAATGCCAGTCCATGGTTCAGCTCAAGGCAACCTAACAGGGACAAACACACAAAAAGTTAAGGAATGGCCAGAAACTCCCACACAGCCACAATATGTATTTATACACACTTCACACTGGGTGAGACCTATACATAGGATTGACAACTATAACTGTAGACACCACCCATACCCTAAGAAAACGAGAGCAAATATTGAAAATAATATTACCCCATACTACTTAAATCAAGAACACGTATATCATATATAGGCCTATAATTTTTTACATGTGTGGGGTCTGTATTTTCCTTATGAATCATGATATTTGCAGTCTTCCACAAATTTGGCATTTTCCTTCCATGTAAAACTTGGTTCATGATCTCCTTTAAATACGGTTTCAATTCTTCTTTCAATTTTTTATAGTATACTAGCTGTGCCCTGCCACGCGTTGCTGTGGCCTATAGTAAAACTTATCAAAGTTGAGGTAGATATCTGGACTATTATGAAAGAGAGGTACCTACCTATTCCTTCCCCCTTTTCCTCCCCCTTTCTCTCCTTTCTTCCTTCTCTACCTCTTTCTTTCTTTCCTTCTTTCACTACTTGGTTTCATCCTTCTCTCTTTCCTTCATTCCCTCCCCCTTTCTTCCTTTGCCTTTCTTCCCTCCCTGTTTGCTTCCTTCTTTCACTTTTTATTTCCTTTTATTTCACCACCATCATAACAATAACAATAATGCAATGCATTGCCTCTGGGACCTGACACCTCTCACATTCCCCCTAAAAGGGTCTCATAGGAACAATAGCATAATAATAATAATAGAAATAACAACCTTTACCCGCCACGTGTTGCTGTGGCCAATCTTCCCTCTTTCCCTCCTTCTTTCCCTCCCTCCCTCCCTCCCTCCCTCCCTCCCTCCTTCCTTCCTCTTCCTTCCTTCCCATCTTTCCTTCTCCTCTTCTTTCTCTATCTCTTTCCTTCCTTCCCCCTTTTTTTTCTCTTCTGCTGTCTCCCTTTTCTTTCCTTCCATCTTTCCTTTTCTTTCCTTTCTTCTTCCTCTAACTTTCCTTCCTTCCCCCTTTTTCTTTACCTCCCTTTCTCTTTCTTCCTTCTTTCCTTCCTTCCTGTCTTTCCTAGATTTTGACAGGGCGGGAAGGGGCGGGGTGGGGTTTGGAGGTGGCGTGAAGTAAAAGGAGGTAAGATTGGGGCGGGGGAGTGATGGAGCGTGGGGTTGCGTGTGTGCGTGCGGCAGCGAGGGGAGTCATGGAGCGTGGGGTTGCGTGTGTGTGTGGCGGCGGGGGAGGGTGGGGTTGCGTGTGTGGGTGCAGCGGGGGGGGGGGGGAGTGATGGAGCGTGGGGTTGCGTGTGTGTGTGCGGCGGCGGGGGGAGTGATGGAGCGTGGGGTTGTGTGTGTGTGTGTGGCGGCGGGGGGAGTGGGGTTGCGTGTGTGTGTGCGGCGGCGGGGGGAGTGATGGAGCGTGGGGTTGCGTGTGTGTGTGCGGCAGGGGGTGTGTGTGTGGGAAGCGGCGCGGCGGGGCTTGGAGTGGGCATGGTTTCCGCAGAGGGAACGTTGGCCGGAAGGGCATGTGCGCGCGCCAGGGAACTTGCGGCTGGGCGCCAATGCGCATGCTCAGTTGTTTTGCCGTTTTGTGAGTGTGTTGTGTTGTTTTTTCATTTTGAGTAGATATGTTTGTACCTTGTGGGTTGTGTTATGGGCATGGGAATTTTGGTTAAGTTTCGTTGGTTTTTTTTAGCTTTGTTGTTTTGCCGTTTTGTGAGTGTGTTGTTGTGTTGTTTTTCATTTTGAGTAGATATGTTTGTACCTTGTGGGTTGTGTTATGGGCATGGGATTTTGGTTAAGTTTCGTTTGGGGATTTTTGAGTTTTGTTGTTTTGCCGTTTTGTGAGTGTGTTGTTGTGTTGTTTTTCATTTTGAGTAGATATGTTTGTACCTTGTGGGTTGTGTTATGGGCATGGGAATTTTGGTTAAGTTTCGTCGGGGGATTTTTGAGTTTTGTTGTTTTGCCGTTTTGTGAGTGTGTTGTTGTGTTGTTTTTCATTTTGAGTAGGTATGTTTGTACCTTGTGGGTTGTGTTATGGGCACGGGGATTTTGGTTAAGTTTCGTTGGGGGATTTTTGAGTTTTGTTGTTTTGCCGTTTTGTGAGTGTGTTGTTGTGTTGTTTTTCATTTTGAGTAGATATGTTTGTACCTTGTGGGTTGTGTTATGGGCATGGGATTTTGGTTAAGTTTCGTTGGGGGGGTTTTTGAGTTTTGTTTCCTCGTTGGATGCCCCTAACAAATTTATATATATAGATCACTGTCAGACCATCCGGTCCCGGAGCTTTGTTTGGGTTTAGTTTTTTTATTGCTCTATCTATTTCTTCATCACTTATATCTTTGTTCAGGGCTTCCTACTGGTCATCCATTAGTCTTTATATTTTTTGTTTTCCCTATGTATAGAGAAATATCCCCTTTCTTTATCTGATCTTTTCTATACAGCTTTGCATAATACTTTTAAAATTGATTAATGATATCTCCCCTATCTATACCTGCCTATGACCCTGCCCCTTCTTCCCATAGCGTCCCTTCCCTTCGATTCATTGCCCCTTCTATATTTTACCTATGTAAAAAAAAACTTTAATAAAAATTTAGAAAAAAAAGAACATCTATATCATAAACCACTAATTTAGTATCTGAAGCTAGAAAAGATAGTTGGGGCTCTGCGATTCTGTATGCAATCTATACCATCATTTTACACACAATTTATCCTCCTACAGAAAGGGTGAAGAAATGTTGGCTATCAAGATGTTTTGGACTTTATTTCCCATGCTATGTTAAGTTGTTGCCATGCTATGTTAAGCTGATGGAGGCTGAGAACCAAAGTATCTGGTGAATCAAAGAGCATCCATCCTGTCTTATGGGTTATTTCATATAGTACAAGTAATATTTTTACAATAGCAAGTGATGTGGAGATCATGATTTGCTTGTATTGTCGAAGGCTTTCATGGCTGGAATCACTGGGTTGTTGTGTGTTTTCCGGGCTGTATGTCCATGTTCCAGAAGCATTCTCTCCTGATGTTTCACCTGCATCTATGGCAGGCATCCACAGAGGTTGAGACTTCACACCCTCTGAGGACTCCTGCCACAGATGCAGGCGAAACGGCAGGAGAAAATACTTCTGGGACACAGCCATACAGTCCGGAAAACACATATTTTATTTACTGCGCTTGTAGACCGCCATTCTCAGCCCTGGGGCGACTCACGGCGGTAACAACCCATGATTTTCTTAATGTATGTTTGTATATTGATTAAGTCCTAGTAAAATTTTACAGCACGAGTCCAAAATGCAGAAATATCAAAAACTTACTTTAACTTATGAAATATATGGCTTTATAAACAATAGCACAACAAATCAATAAGAGTCCTCGGTAGCCTAGAAACATCAGTATTACCTTATACACACCCTATTTAATCTACACTGCATTAGTTGCAGGCACATGTGCACTCCTGAAAGAACTGTAATAGGAACTGCAGCACCTAGTGATTAATTCTGTGCCCCCAAAGCCAAATTACTGGAATATATCTGATCAATGATGGACATCCACTACATTTTGTTCCTATGGCACTTGGGTACAATGTAGTCAAATTGCAGTAACGAAAGCACAGTGGAGGTTTCCTTTGTTTATTTTAAAATCTTGAAATGTGTGTTTGTGTATCTTTTCATCGAATGCAGTAAGGTGTAGTCATATTGTTCGCTGATAATTTAGTCCCTCTGCTGCCACCTATAAATCTCTTCAGTTGAAGAAGAAATGATTCATTTACTTAGTACATTACCTATGCAATCCAATCATTCTCCCACTTATTTACTCCATAGTCAAAACATCTATTCTACACACACCACACTGAAAGTACTATAGAATAGGCAACTCTGTGACGATAGAGCAAAATAAGGCTCTTTGTGCAAGCCATTTCCCCAAGTCTTGTGATCTCCTTTAGACCTATAGTTCTATCCAGCTGTAACTCTATACAATGAAGTGTTGTCTAAACTCCTGGTATCAGTGAAACAAAGGTTGCTCCCATCCAATAACAAATTGGAGCCTCTCACACCCAGCTGCAGTCAAGTGGGAGCTGTTTTCCCATGGTGAGATAAATCACACAATGTACTGACTACATAGGAAATACTCATACAATCTGTTCCCATCATCTTGATGCATTATTCACAGAACCCCCAGCTGTACAAAACTGCAATCCAGGAAAGTATATGAGAGTGTTTCAAGAAACATATATTGCTGTCAACGAGATCAAGTGTTAGGATAAGACACCCGAAAGTACTGAAGTTTACTATCACTGTATGGTGTAACAAATCGTGTCAGAAATCTACTGACCATTTCATATATAACATTAGTTTATTTGTATTCTACTGCCTTGAAGCTTTGTGTTTCATATTTCTGAACAGTTTCCTTTCTTAAACTTTTTGGTGCACCATTATAACTACAAAGTGTAACTTATTATTTTGCCAAATCAGGTTCACACTGTAAAGAGACACAGATGTGCACGATGTAAACTCCAGCCTTTGATCAATTTCAGGGCAAAAATGCCAGGATAACAACTGAAGCAAACCAAATATTAAAGCAATCCACCCTCAAAGATAGCTATCCTATGACAAGATGAATTTGTTAGGAAATAAAAAGTTGATCAGAAACTTTGAGCCAACAATATGTAATACTTCTAAAGTTATAAATGCCGCTTTCCTATTAAAAACAGCTTCCAAAGGTTTACATTTCAAATAATTAACAGTAAGAGTGACAACAGGTAGTGTCACATTACTTATAGAACTTTATTTTGCAAGATTAGGCACTAAGCCTTGATCATATGTGTCCTTCTAAATCAAATAAGCAATTGTGAGCTGATGTGGATGAAGTTGTCAAATACACTTTATTCTACTTGAATGAAGCTCCAATTTACTGTAAATCAACTGTTTCCTATACCAGGAATAATTATGTCTTCCTAATTACATATCAAGTACATCTTACAAGTATTCGTTGCTCTTTTTTAAAAGT